TTCAGCAATGAACTTTGCTGAATGAATTTAACAATGAACTTTGCTAAAATCTTGCATAGTTGGGGCCTGAAGGACACCCGCTAGCAACCCATTCCTGAGGTGTGGGGCTACTATGGAAAAGACTCTTTTGTGTACCTGCACTTTATTTATTTATTTATAAAATTTCTATGCCGCCCCATTCGCCGAAGCCTCGGGGCGGCTCACAAAACAACTGCTTTCAGGTGTAGGCATACAGAAGGAGCTCTTGCTGATCTTTCGTGGCAAGGTTGGTGTAGGTGAAGGAGGTCCTTTAAGTAATTTGGTCCCAAATTGTTTACAGATTTAAAGGGCAAAACCAGCATTTTAACCAGTGTAGCTGAGGCAGTGTAGGGATAAATGATCTGACTGTCTCATTCCCACCAGCACTTTTTGTACCCGCTGAACTTCCGGACTATCTTCAAAGGCAGACCTGTGTACAGTAGTCCGGCCTGACATCACTGCTGCAGGGTTAACTGAGGCAGGGTTTTCTCCAGATAAGGCTGCAGCTGGCATTCTACCTTACATGGGTACTGCAGCCACCTGAATTACCCCAGCTAGGACAGAGCCCAGGAAGGTCTTTTAGGAGGAATGAAACCCCATGTAAGACCAGTTGTAAACCTCCAACCAAAGAAGTACTTATGTACTGGGAAACCACCCCCTGTTTTCTTAGGATTAAATCTCATCTTTTCAACCTCATTCACCTCAAGAGAACCTTTGGGCACTGATTTAGGAGTTCCACAGCTTCCCTGGGATATGTAGATAAAAATGAGAGCTAGAGCTATCCTCAACATACTGATAACGTTCCAGCCCAGATTTCCAGGGGACTTCCCCAGTGTTTCCATGTGGATGTTAAAAAAATGAGTGACAGGCTAAAACCTAGCAGCACTCCTTTGACTAATGACTTTTGAATGGAGGAGAAGTTCCCTGATACCACCTTCTGAAACCATTCCTCCAGGAAGGAATGGAATCACCTCAGCATCATACCTGTTCAGTCCCACCCAGGTAAATGGTGCAGAAGACTAAGACGACTAGAAGAACCGACAACTGTCCCCACATTAGTCGCCAGCCAGGCTGACCAAGACTGTTTCTGTCCCATAACCAGGCCTGAAAACTGACTGGATTGGATCTAGCTGGTTTCTACCATCCAGCACTGGATGAGGTTGAGGCAGTGCTGCATGCAAGAATGGCAAATTTGATGCTGGCCGTTGGTTTACCAAAGCGATAGTAGTGAGTTTTGGTTTCTTCAACGGAGCGTCATCACTGTTCCTAACAAAATTGCAGGGGCCCAGCCATCCCTCAGGGAGGCATTTACTACCATAGCCGTCCAGTTAGTGGGGAGCTACCTGTGTCACCCTGAAGTCTTCCTTGGCGTTCCTACCACCCTCGTCCTAGCACCAGTTTCTGAGACAACCAGGCGCTTCCATGTGACGTCAGATTTTCTTAGCTTTCCTTGCTGCGTATCATCTTTTAAAATACGAAAGCTGAGAAATTGTGGTTCTGTGCTTGAATTCTGTGCTTAAAAGCAGAAAGATCAAATCTAGCCTTTGAAGTAATTTTCTCTGGCCTTGGAGTGCTCTGCTAGATTTTATGAAGGTGTGATTTATATAATAGAAAAAGACATCTGACAAGCCTTTCTTCCAAAAGCTGCAAAGGGGATACCATACCTTTGTCTTGCATCTGCCTGCTGCATAAACAGCGACCTATTTTGGTCATGGAGTTCACATTCTCCGTAACTGAACCTCACTCAGCCTCATGATTGAACTTAACTGCCCCCAGAGAATTTAAGCCATTGTTTAGAGCACTGAGAGTCAAGGTGAAGGTTATGTTGAATGGATTCCTTTAATTGGCCTTCAGGAGAGAGAACAGTTTGAAAATGTTGGAAATATTAAAGAAAGTTAAATGCATTTTAAAAGCACGGACTGTCATATTCCCATTTTTAAAAATTTCACACCTAGCAGTATGAAGGCTGGAAATAAACATTTGAGAAAATATGGTTTTTCAGTTTCCCCTCCGAGGATCTTGTTTGTTTTTTAAAAATGGGTAAATGTGTAACTTTGGATTATGAAGTATTTTATTGCTCCAAAATTATTTTTAAAAATATGTAGTAGGAAAACCTTTAAAAGTGTTGAAGTATAACATATTAATAATTTTGAAGGTATGATAAATTATTTTTTAATCCCAGGTTAGTATTTCTTCTGTTCTTCGTTAAAATTATTGTTCTATTTAAACTTTCGCCAATAGACAGTTAGGGATGCTTCACAGCATACTTTTGTTTCCCAAAGTGTGCCTAGAGTTACCATATCATAATACATGAAGCAGTGTGTATTTCTGGCAGAGACTTGTATTTCTGGACTGCTTCTGGCTGCAGTAGTCTGTGAATGTGGTCCTAAAAACCCCATGTGAGAGAAACATGATAGATTATTCCACAATTACTACCACTTGCAGCGCAGCAATGTGTGAGCTTTCCCGCCTATGATTCTTTAAAAGTACTGGGGGCTTGGGTCTATGAAATTATTGCAACATTTTTTAACAAAGTTTCCAACTTCACCATTAGAAAGTGCTTCCCCAGCTGCATAAATTTCAGCTCTCTCCCCCCCCCCACACTCAAAAGCCATCTGCCTTAAAATGAGACTATGTAGACTGATTCCTATGATTTAAGGCATGGAATTGACACCCCTGGAGACCATATTGCAAAATGGACCACAGTCAAGATTTTGTGTAGGGTAATTACTTACACAAAGGAATAAAATGTCACTATTCAAAAATTAGGTTGAAGTTGCTTAAGATGTCCCAGATGAAAGATGCTTGGTTATTGTTCCTAGCAGGTAAAGGAGCTTTGTTCACACCCTCCCCAGCCCCAACAAATCATTCACAAACAGGAACAGATATTTCAGGGACTACTTGCTGAAGTTATCTCTGATCAGACATAAAAAATGAACTTAAGCTGTATTATGTAATAGTTTTGTTTGCTCATGGAATTATTGTGTGGTGTATTACATTTAAAAGTGTAGTTTATGTAGACACTAACACAATTTTACTAAGTTTATTTTTAAATGTTTTCAGTTTTGATGATAATTGTTGAGCAAACCAAATTATATATGTTTAATGTTTTGTTCCTAAGGTAACACTATGACTCCAGGTCTGGAAAGAAAATTAATACAAGAAGCATTGTGCATTTTGCTGATCTTTTCCAAGTTAACTTTTTTTAAAAGGTCTTTTTTCTCCCTCTTGTTTTCAGTTTTTTTAGAAATTGTACATGTCCGTGTATGCTACAGTGTACCTACTCCTAACTCCTGGATGATTGTCCAGAACAGCAATTGCTGTGCTGTGGGGCAGCGTATGCCAGGGTGCAGCAAGGAGTCAATGAAAGGCACCTTTGGGCTTCCTTGCACCCAACCAAGGAGGCTGCCTGCATCATGCGCTTGCTTTTCTGGCTTTAGCTCTTTCGAATTGGCCTTTGCTGGATGTCTGTACTAGATGCACTTGTATTATTCAACCACTTCAGAATCACAGCATAATTGCCTATCCTTCCGGGTCGCCTGTTGAGTCTCTGCATGTGTCAGTAACCCGAACTTGACTCATTTCAAGAAGGAAAGTACACTTAGAGCAGTGACTTGTGCATAACTAGAGGGGGAATGGGCTCTTCGGAAAGTCGGTAATTCTAACCTTTCAGAGAGTATAAGTAAGTATTTGGGCGTGAGGATGATATTTTCCTCCAGCTTTAATTCAGAACAAAAGTGTGACTTGACAATGAGAAGTCTGGGAGGCATTTGCCTAGAGAATAAAGATACAGAAGATGACTGTTTCTGGCAACCTTGCAAAAGCCTTTCTCCCCGCTGCTTCCTTTCCCTGCTTCACTAGAGAGACAGGAGACACATTTTTAGGCAGCTGGCTAAATGCAGGGAGGGCTGCCGATTTCTTTCTGTCTGTACAGCACTGAGGTGGGTAGGACAAGAAAGCCAGCCCAGTCTGGTCTGCAGTGCTACATGTATCAACCTAGACCCCATGGGGAGGGCCCTGCCGTCCCTGCTGTTTTTTAGCATGATGATCAAGAAAATCTGGACAGCAGCAGATCTCTTCTTGTAAAACTTATTTAGCATTGGCAGAGATGAATCCCCAGTTACTGGGCAGTAACATTGTAGGGAGGCAGAGGTAGAGTGCGAATTCGGTTTTTGCTGCTAGGTTGACATACGATGAAGATGTTAGTAATTGCAGAGAAGTTACTCTTCAAAAGCATATTGTATGGGCTGTGCATAGGTGAATGCCTTTATTCAGTACTGCCTTTTGCAGCAATGCTTTGATGATCATAAAAAATGAAGCTTTCTCTGGCTTGCATAAGAAGATGGAACAGTGCTGAGAAATGCTTTCATTGAGGCTTTCACTTAAAGAAGAAATAAATTGATTTTCAATTTGCATCTCATTTGACCTGTCATTATGGTTGGGGATCATTCTACTTGGGGAACTAATATTTGGCATTAAGGCTTTTTAAAGTTTTCTCTTGTACCACGTAAATGAGTGTTGCTTGCTTAGTTAAAGGAAACGTGAATTTCTTTAAGCAGCTTATTGCTTTTTTCAGATGGTAGAACAACTGTAGGAACTGCCAAGAAAGGGCTAGGCATGTGTTTTTAGAACCTCAGCTGGGGTATGTTTGCTTGTAATTTACACAAATGTGTCCCAAGGACAGTTGAAGCCACATGCTAAGAGAAGGAACTTAGCTTAGTTGTTTTATTAAATTTTATTCTATTTTTAACAATTATATGATCTGTCTAAAATCATTGTATGCCAGTTCTGCAACCTGTATATTCCAGTTTGATTCATTTCTAGACACGGTGTCGTTGTGTTATACACAGCTTTTGACTATACTTGTTTTTTTAAAAAAAACTCGTGCCAGTTGGCAGGGTGGTTGCATTAGTAAGGCTTAGATTAGCAAGCCGTGACTTTTCAGTCCTGCCTCATCACCATGGTATTTGTATTCTTGACAGAAATTCAGGACAGTTGCCTGTCTCCCAACCTCCCACTGCAGACAACATGCTCAGCACAAGGCCGGACAGTCTTCAACGAGTCTCTCTTTCAGCAAACTGGAATGGATTTTGCTCCTTTGAGGTGGGGTAAACTGATTATATGCTTGAACTATGTTAGTGCCACTGTTTGATGCAATGAATTTCTGTTTGATTCACATGAATCATCTCCTGGGATCTGGAGATGTGGGCTTTGCTTATTGGCCAGTCATTATCTGTGGTTACTGCTAGTTGCGCTTTTCTTCAGATGCTGTGGGGCATGCAGAGTGCCTGGGGAGAGCTGCATACCCCATTGTTTTGGATGTGGGTCACAGGAGAAGTGCTGTCCTGATCAGCAGGGCTTGTCCTTTTGTCTCCCAGCTTTAACATTAGTTAGTAATGCTTTCAGCCAGTTTCTTCAGAACAGATGTTAAACTAAACAGAATGTAATTTCGTAGATCCCCCTGGATCCTTTAAAAAACAAACAAACAAACAAACCAAACACGAGACATGGGCCATTCTCCAGTTCTACAGAAGCTGATCTTAGGGGAACGTTGCATATTTTTTTGTTAGAAGATGAGCAATTTCAAATTTCAGTTCTGGAGGGTACCGGTGTATTTTGAGACCTGTGACCCTGAACTTGGAGACTTGCAGTCATCCTGTGCAGGGAAGGAGCAGGAGCAGAGGGGATCTTCACCTCTCTGTCCTTGCGTCCTGCATTTTCTCTGGACAGGCTTCTTGGCCTGCCTAGTGGAAGTTCTCTGGAGGAAGAAGGAAGCAGTCTGGAGAGGCCCCAGGACCAAGTGTTTCCAGGCCTCTTGAGTCTCCTTCCTTCCCCACCTACTGAAATGTCCCCCTTTCCAGCTCTCTGAGGTTGCACTCCTGATGTCAGAGAGGCAGCTGGCGTATTTCTTTCCATGCGAGGGGGAAGGGTATGGATCACAGATTCCCCCCTCCAAGGTTGAGGCACCATCTTCAACCCCCAATCTGGGAATCTGAGTTTTTACATGGCCCCTTAGGCACTCTTGGCGCCAAATGCTTACTTGCCCATGAACTCTAGGATGGAAAGCATTCGGGCCCAGTGCTGTATTTCAGTCTGTTGGTAATGGGGAGAACTTCACCTTTTGTCACCGTTATTTGCCTCAGTTCCTCAAACTCTCCCACTGAGAACATCACAGTTCAGGCACAGGCATTTCTTCTCTGTCTTCTGCTGTGAAGAGAGATCAAAAGAAGTTCATTCAGCTTTTCCAGATCAACTGCTCCTCCTTCCATATTTGTTTAACTCTATTGTCACCCGATGATCCAGCTGACTCCCCAGCTGGTCTCTCGCCTCTGATGGATTTAGAGCATTCTTTGTGGTTAGCCTTGTTGTTGTTAGTGATGCGATCTTTAAAATACTTTTTTTGCATCTCCTTTGCACAAATTTGTGTTTCCTTGTGTTTTCCTCATTGGACCAAGACATTCAGCTTTTGAAGTTGCCTTTTTCAGAGCAGCTGCTGACTAGGTTGACATTTGCGTTGAGCTATCCACCACAAGATCTGTTTTGGTCGGTCACTGCTAGTTTGGATCCCATCCACCTATACTCGAAGTTGACTCTAATTACAAAGGCGAATATCCAACATGGCTGTTCTGCCACTGCTTTCACAACTGGGGTATGTTCTTCGTAAACTAACCCTGGTAACACTAGCTTCCGGTTTGGGCCAGCACAGCAGAACTCCATTCTGTGAACACTGCTGTCTTTCTCTGTTATGGAAACGAGTGTTTCCACTAACTTTGGATTATTCTTGGAATAGCAAAAGCCTCATTGTGCAAGAATTGAGTCCCTTGAATACATGGGCAAGATGGGAGACTATTGTAGATGATCTAAGGGTGTTCCTTCTTGCTTTATGATACTGTCTTTCTTCTCTGCCACCCCAACCTTCATCACCATTATGTAGTTACTGGATATGAACTGTAAATATAAACACTTTGTAAGTTGGAAACAAATTCAACGTGTTAATGCATAATCCATAGGGATTCAGGGATTTCTTTGATAGACAAAACTAAGAAAAATATATATTTGATTATTCTTAGTGTTACTTAAGTCAGAAGGATCTCCCTGTACATCTTGCAAAATGCTAGAAAACCAAAAGTTTGTCTTAACAAAAATAGAATGTTGTCACTGTATATATTACATCATTTCATTGAAGAAGAATATTGAATAGTTTTAATTTGGACTTGGAAATCTTCTCTCTGGGTTCTTCTAGACTGTAATGTGTGTTTGGAACGTTTCCATCTCTTTTCTGTTTCAGAGGAATTCCAGATGTTTCTGGTACTTCTTCTGAGGAGACTTCAAGACATTTACAGATGAGTGAGGCTGTGCGACTGGCAGGCACAGAAGTTGGATCAGACTCTTCCAGTGACAGATTTTCTCTGTCCCAGCACCCTCTGGCTTTCAGCATTGTGACACCCGGCAGTACCAGCCTTGGTAGTTGTCTGTCCCAGCATCCTCTTTCTCTTTCTGGACACATAGCTAAGGATCAGCAACATTATGTTGAAGAGCAAACAACTCATCTTGCTATAGATGCTAAAACCTTGGGTTCCACAGATGAGAATTCTGGAGTCTTAGGTTCCCGGAAGTTGCTAAATTGGCAGGAAGCAATGCCTCTCCCGCCAAAGGAATCCCAAGGAATTGCCTCAGGCCAGGATCTGTTCCTTTTGGACAGCAATGTGCCAGCTCCTCTCTTGCTTGAAATGCTGGAGAAAGAGGTGGGGGTATCAGAACACTGTGGGTTCTCCTCTTCAACTAGTTCTTCTTGTAAAAGTATGGTGGGAAACGATCAGGAAGAAAATGTAATGAGCCAGCTAGTGGAGAAAGTAGTTCAGGTGGAAAAGGAGCCAGAAACTTCTGTAGAACCACATCAACAAGAATGCAGAAGCATTCCTCAACCTGACTCATTGAAGTTGCTTTCTGACCCAGAGGGAAGGCCCTTTAAAATTGCCCGTAACTCACAGGTGCTGGTGTCATCCAAAGGACAGAGGATGGCTTTGGGAGACGCTTGTGCTATTACTGGGATATCGCCAAGCCCTTTGCTGAAGAAGCCACAGATGCAGCACATTTCTGAAACTATATTTGAAGAACAAAAAGGACAGATTGTTTCAGTACCAGCTGACTGTAGACCTAATGCTCCTGCAGCCCTCCAGCCAGTCATTGTGACTCCAGAACATGGCGATAAATGCAGCAAGCAGGTGGACAATGTGATAGAAATCCGGACAGGAGAGAGCAAAAATGAATTAACACTTTCAGATGTAAGCATCGAAAGAGAGCATAAAGATACTGGGGTTTCACCTTCCTTTGATGAGAGATCTTTTGTTGGATATCTGGCTCATCCAATTCATCATTCTACCCCAGGGATTTTTCTAACCAGAAGCCTGAAGCAGGAAGGACCTGGTAAGGCATTCCCAGTGACATCTCTTCTTCAGGCCTCTCTGTCTTGCTTACCTGAAGAGATTTTGAAGAATTCTTGTGTCACCACGTCCATTCCTTCAGTGGAAGGACCTCGTGTGATGTCACTGGATGATACTCCTATACCCTCTGCTGAAGAGCCCCTTACACTCCAAAGCGAACAAGAAGAAAAGCTTGAAAACAGTGATGGTCTTAGAGATCTGCATCTTCTTGAAAGTAGAATTCAGACTCTACCTTCTCTTAGCTTCATGGAGAAGGTCGGGGCATGGAACGTGAGCCATTCAGCTGAGAGGATGTCCGATGCGTTGACTTCACATGGCTCAAGTGACACTTCTCCTCGGCAGAAGGCCTATAGTGCTGTTGCAGATTCCTTAAACCGCATGTTGTTAAAGCAGCAGAGCCAGGCCGCTCTTAAGGGAGGGGTGGGTGCATCAGTCTCTGGGCCAAACCCTCAGGGTAACATGCAGTCATGCAATGAAGAGCCACTTCATGCTTTACCACTTACCCAGTCTCAGTCAGAAAACTCTGTCATTGCAATAACGAGAGAGATACCAAGGGCTGAAGTAGGTCATGAAACAGCTCCAGGTGACGATCTTCAAGCAGCAAATGACTCAGACAGTAATTCGGGAGCTTCTGCAGTTAAGCAAAGTGCAGCTAATATAGACAACTCACTTGCTCCACGTTATACAGCTGTTCTGGTCTCCACTCTGTCCAGTGATGAAGAAACCATTGGAAGTGTTGACAGAGGAAGGAGTTCAAATCCAGATCAGCTTATTACAAGTGAAAGGGTTGCAGAACTGCTCAGGAATGAAGCCAGCCTTTTAAGTGATAGCCGAGACAAATATGGCTCTCAAGATAATACCAAAGAGGTGCCGGGCATTCATCTTTGCACGAGCCAGATTGGAATGGACCGCTTTGGAGATGTTTCACCAGATAGCTTGAATCAAATGATTAATTCCAGGGCAGGAAGCTGTGCTGATTTGCGACTTTCCTCAAGACAATCTTCAAGACGATCTTCATTGGTTTCTGGAAAGTTGCATAGCAGTTCAGAAGATGGATTACAAACTCCAGATGACAGAGAGATAAATATAGAAGCAAGAATACCAGTAAGTACTTATTTCTATTGAAGCCTCCTTTAATATGTTTTCCTTTGATATTGGTATGTTTGATTTAACATCTCACCAGAGGATCTGTCTCAAGAGGAGGTCTTTCCCTCCCTCTTTCCCACTCCAGTAGACTCAGATGAAACTTTAGAAGAACAGGCGTTCTGTTAAAGCTTAGCAGGTTACAAAACAGTATAAATCAAAGTAACGTTCTTGATATGTGAGCAAAAGATCTACCCATGTAAAGAGTTGACTCCAAACTGAAGCTTCCCCTCCTTCCCTCCCTTTCTGAAGATTTGTACCCTATCTTCAAGTTGGCTCTTGCTGCTTGAGGGTTAGATGACAGGAATGCCAGAAACTTCTTAATTGGTCTGCTTCCTTCACTATCATTTTCTGACTAGAGCAAGGAACTCACAGTTCGAAATGTCCCCCCAGATCTGGAATTTCTCCCCGCTTTTCCATGGTGGGCTGCTTCTGCCACTGAGCTCTGCTTCTGTTACTTTGAGGACTGGCAGGGAACTTTCTGGTGCCCACGTGTTGGTTTAAATTAATATTGCCTAACTAACTTCATGAAGAGACAGCAAGTTCAGTTGTCCAACTCGCATGATACATCTGTTTCTGGATGGCAGATGCGGGGCTGCGAGATGAGTTGCTGTTCCCTCTGTATAAAACTTCCCACATATAGGGAGATTGTTCTACCCCAGCCGGTTTAGAGACAAGGCTGGGGTGCTTAAAGTATAAGCTTTATCACTTGGCAAAGAGGAAAAATAAATTGCCAAGTAGAAAGCACACTTGTGGTAAGAAAATATGGTTACCGTAGTAACATTTGCATAGAGAAACAGAAGAAGCTTTATACATGTAGCAGAGAAAAAATCTGAAGTAAGTCTGTATAATATAATTAACGTATGCATATTATATACACATACAATTTGGGAGACTAATTGCCTTTTCTCAGAATAAGTGTGTGTGTGTGGGGGGGGTTGTTTTGTTTTGCCCAAATGTTTTCTGTTGCAGCAACATGATTATTTCCTTAAGGCTATTCCCAAGAAGCACAGACCCATGGGAGTAGGGTGTAGAAGAGGGGGCAGGGCTGATGGGAGTTGTAGGCCAAAGCAAAGTAGAGCGAAGATGAGGAAATGTGCCTTTTCCCCTTTTCTGCCATACTTCTTTCTCTAATGCTGGGGAAGGCAACAAATAGCCTTCTGAATGTTTTGGCCTACAACTCCCGTCAGCCCTAGCAATCATAGCCAATGGTGAGGGCTTATGGGAATTGTAGGCCACACATCTAGAGGGCAGAAACCAGCTCATCCCTGCTGTGATAATTATCATGGAAGCAAGAATGTGAAAGCATTTTTCTCCGTGCATACCAGCTGCTGAAGCTAACCGGGGCCTTTCCTGTTCGAAGCATGTGCTTCTCTCTGAGCGCCAGCCTGTCAAGGCATCCTGTTTGCCCTGCATCGCCTCGAATGGGGTGTATCCTTGGATGCATGACACAGTTGACCTCACTGGTTCCCAGTAAGAATATGGCAAGTCTGCTTTTACCCATAGATCACTTTTATTCAGTTGGGGTGCTGGCTCCAGGGAATGGCTCTGGAAAACTGCCACTGCAGGTCTTTTGCTTGAGCTAGAAAGTGCCATGTTGGAGCAGGAAGGCTCACACAAAATTATTATTTTGGTTCGGCACTAATAAGAATTTAAGATCTTTGCCTGACTTCTTTAGAAAGAGATTGACAACACAACCCTCTGTATGCCTACTCAGAAATGAATTCCATTCAGCTCCATTAGCTTTACTCCCACATACGTGTGTATAGGATTGCAGCCTTTGTCACCTTGCCTGCAAGTTTAATTTTGAGGAATTCATCTTGTAAATCAGTTCCAGGACATTTCAGAAGAAGTAATACATTTAATATTTATATATATGTTGTTTTTTGTTTTTGCTTTTCATTGATTTCGCCTTCATTTCCATATATAGTTTAAGTCCACAGCTAAATTTCTGGCAAGGAAGAAACATGGTATGGCTACTCTTGGAGTATTTTTAAATTTGGGATGAAAAATATGTGAAATGTCTACTTACTTAAATTGATATAATTTATACTCTTTTCCTCCCTTTAAAGAAATTGACATTTTACAGAGGGTTAAGGATTGTCCATATTTACAGATTCCTGCATTTCTTGCTGTAAAGACTAGAGATAGGGAAAGAAACCAGGGAACCCCTAGTTTTCCCCTTCAAGAACTGCCTCCGCCGCCCCCCCCCCCAATATGAAAAATTGGGTAGCTTTAAATCATAATGTATTTTCTTTTAAAAGTTAAAATAGGGTGTTTATATAGGTTTACTAAGCCTTTATCCCCCTTTATTTCTAAAATCTATTTAATAAGAATACTTCCCTAGAAAGACTCATGATGTGAAATGTCTGGTAATAAAGCTACGAGGGGAAACATGAAAATGCTCTAAGTCATGCTTCGTTTCCCAGCAAGTGGGTTTAGCCACCAGGTCATAATATAGAAGAAAATGTGCAATCTTGACCGTTTGGGTTTAATTTTACCAAGTCCTGCATGTGCTTGGACTTCCCCCCTGTCCCCAGTGCTTCCTGTTTCTTTTAGGAGGATTCAGAGGTTTCAAGGAAGACTTACTAAACCCCTCTGTTCAAACATAGATAGGTTACTTATAACTTGGTTTAGTCATACAGTTATCATGCTGGGTATGCATAAAGTTTAGTTTACTCAGGCAACAGTTGCAGTTTTATTGAGTTCATCTTTCACACTTTTCAAATGAAATAATTCTTTGTGCAAACCAGGATATACATAATATAACTTTAGGCATGTAATAGCAGCTTTGCATTCCTGAGTTAGCCTTCCTAAACCTCTTGCCCTACAAATACATTGGGCGGCAGTAGTCACTATTCCTGACTGTTCACCACCCTGCCGGAGGCTGAGAGGAGCTGGAGTCCAAATACCTGACAGGTACCAAGTTAAGGCAGACTTTCCTAAAGCAACAAAGTGTTTTTAGATCTGTAGAAGAATGTTCTGCTTATTTTTCATTTTTCCCAGAAAAGGGGGAAATCATTTTTCCATGGTTGCAAATTTCCAGAAATTTCACTGACTAGAGAAGTTACTTCCTTTTGTCGCGTGTCCCCCCGCCCCCGGCCCGGTATTCTTGTGGAATGGCAGTTAAAATTGCCCATTGCAGGCAATTGCTTTCTCAGATTAATTGCTTTACTTCTTGAATCAGGTATATCTCCGTAACCTTGGCATCGATCAGTCACCAACATCTATACTGTCTCCGTTTATGCCCCAAGGGCCAATCAGAGAAATAGAGTTGTCTCCAACTGAGCCTGGAACACTGAAGGCATCTGTAGGTTCATCCACACAGCGCTCACAGTTATCAGAAGGTATGGCGGGAAACGCATCTGCTTCTCTAATGGAAAATAGGCAGCTCTGTCAGCAGCTATTAGCCATGATAGACAAATGGAATGTCCAGGCTCAGCTGCAGTCTACCTTGGAGTACCAGTTGCTGTGGGGGAAATGTCTGCCTTCATCCCCTCCTCAGGGGCTTCTCAGGACTACCTGGCTGGTTGTATTAAAAGCTAAGAAAAATCGGCCAGGAGATAAATTCCAAAACAGATATTGGTGGTAGGCTAGCGAAGCAATCAAAAAGATATGCAGAGTTCTGGGACAGGACAATTTGCCTGATGGGAGGCTGGGCGTTCTCAAAGGCTTGAACATTCTTGACATCAATAGGAGAAATACTCAGCATTCTGACATTCCTGTTTCCTCGCAGGAGACTCACATTTGGTGGTCGATGCCATGCAGTCAAGCGTGAACTCTTCCACGCTTAGTGTGCCTGCTGCCGCAGGGTCGGATACTGGCCCTGGTGTTCCGTTGCCCTCAGAGTGCTCCCAGCAGCCTTCTAGCAACCCTCTCAGCCAGTGCAGCAGAGTCTGCCGCCAGTTGGAGTTGTGCACCCCCACACCACATTCCCTCGAGGGCAGTGCTCAGGCTCAGGCTGTGGCACCGGCTCCCGCTCCCCCATCAGCAGAACAGCATCAAGTAACTTCAGCCAACTTCCATTCCGGTGGGGATGGATCCACAGAATGTGCACGGATCCTGATAGGCAGACTTGATTCAGTGGACTGTGTGGGAAGTCAGGAGAAGCTGTCTTCAAGTTCTGTGTCTCAGGAAAAAGATGAAAAGGGTGTAAGTGAGGAAATCAATTCTTCAAGAGTAATTCCTGAAGGAGAAAAAGACAATTCCATCATAGGGTCCAGAACACTGAAGGAGATTCAAATGCTTCTGGAAGAAAACGAATCTATCACTCCAGGTGGAAACTGTAGCTCGTCCTCATCCAGCTCTTCCACAGATCAGGACAGCTCATTCAAACAAATGGCGAAGGTTGATGGCTCAGGAGATCCTGGATCCTTCAGAGGAAGCAGTCCAAGGGTGCAGAGAATGTGGTCCTGGGATGAAACACTAACCAGGCAAAACGTGCATGAGGACAGTGGGCTCACCAAGGCCCTTAGCTTCACTGGGAAATGGGAAGGTTTGCTCGCTATGAACGTTTGTAGCAGTGAGCCTGTTTCACTGGAAGAGCTGAGGCCAGCATCCCAAATGACTGGGGAAGGACAGAGGATGGGGAGGGCTGTCAGGCGATCAGAGCCAGAAGGCTGTCATAGTGCAGCGGTGAGTAAAAATCTGCCAGTTTTAGTAAACACTGCCATTGACAGAGAACTGCGCCCCACCAAGGAGTGCAAAGAATTCCAGGCCTCTGCTAGTGTGGCGCCCCTCGACAGCGTGTCTGACATTTTGGGGAGCTTTCAGCAAGTACTGAAGAAAACCATGGAACCTGGCAGCAAAGAGACATGTAGTAGCTGTGACAGTGAGAATAGCAGCGGTGTGGACTCCCTGAGTATCAAGGTGAAGCGCCTTCTGCAACGTGAATGGCCCGCGGTTCACGCAAGGGGTCGTGCCGAGGAGGAGGAGCGTGGCGCATGTGGTCGCGAGCTCCTCTCAGCCGGAGCCACTGTACCTGCCTGCAAGGGAGACAGCGGTCCTCCAGCGAGTGACGGCGGCAGCAGCAGCTCGGACTCTCTGGCTGCCCGTGTGAAAACTCTTCTGGAAGACGAGAGCCCCGTGGTGCATGCGCCTCGGATATTACAGAGAGCCGAAGAAGAAGAAGAAAATGCACATGGTAAGCCGCTATACCTTTGCTGGCCCATGGTACCTCATTGCTGAGGCTGAATGTAAGCGCAGACTTCATCTTCACACTTAAAGGAAGGAGAAGGCTATGCTGCAGTCTGGGAGGCTGCAGTTCCCAGCCTTGCATGTAGAAAAATGGTGTCATGACACTATCCCTGGCACCTTGGAACCAGGATGTCTGATTTCACAGCATCAGTTCAGAAGTCGCGGAAAGCTGTGTTCCTCCGGTATGCTGCTGTGCTGTGATTTTAGGGGTCAGGAAGGGGGTCCTTCTGCAGAAGCTTCCAGTGGGGTCCTCCCTCTTTGCTGCCTCTTGCTGCTGCCACTACCAGGTACATTTGAGGGAACTAAAGAGAAAGAAGAGGCAGAATTAAAGTTCACACAGACAGATTGAGAGACTGTCAGAGGACCCCTGGGAAGTGTTTTGTTCTCCCTGTATCCCACATGACGTAATCCTACAGTTCTTGTTAGGTTTCTAATGATCGTAGCATTCGTTGAAGAGGGGTGGGGAGTCCTCATCCTCCCAGGGATGCATTTCAGTACAATGAACAAAAATGCTCCCGGATCAGTGTCGGAAAGGCAGGTAAAGATAGTTCCAGTGCACTCTTCAGTCCGTATTGCAAGTTCTTTTGCACTGGTGTGCACCAGTAATTGGACCCACAATTAAGTGGCTGTATTGTGTGCGTTCAGTGTAACTTGGGAAAAAGAGCCAGTCTGGGTACATAAAATCAAGTAACTGCTGAATCTTTTATTGAATAGGACACGCACAGACACACCCTCACTCCAGTCTTTAGGACTTGTGAATTAGAAGTTTGTGCAAGATTTCCAGTGGTTGGAGCTTTTCATCTGCTTAGTTAAAATGATAGTCTAGTTAGTTTTAGCTCTCTAATCAGGTGTTTTGGAAGTGCCTTCAGATTTTCTAGGTTTTTTGAGGGACAAGGAAGGAGTGGAATGATTTTCCAGAATAATTTGAAATACTGATAGATTTGCTGCCAAGAGCATTTGCAGTGTGTTTTATAATACCCTGGAAATTTAAATTATGCTTCGATCATTCCATATTTGAATAATTCAAAAATGTAAACCATTCTGCAAAATTTTAGTAATTTTCCAAAACAAACATACTAAGGTAATCCCTAGATCACCAGAAGTATTTCATTATCATGCCTACTGGCTCCTTGAGTGGGATCTCCACCACCTGTCAGTCCATCAGAATGAAAGGGCAACTAACAGAGGCTTGTACTCTTGGCTTTGTGTGATCTGTGTCCTAGCCTGGGTGAAACAGAAGGAGGCTGCACAGCCCATCAACTCACTGCTTGACCTAAATGAGGAAGACCGGAAGCTCATCGAAGAAATCAAGAGAGGACAACTTCTGACAGCCAGGAAAATTAGGGTTCTTAAGGTATGAAGGCGCTTGGGAAACTGGTAGCCAGATTAAGGAAACACAGAAGAGGTAAATGAAAGAGCAAGACAGTTGCTTTTGGGCAACCATTTTAAAACCACTGGCTAGAAAGGAGGAAAAGAGTCGTGCAAAGGGATGTTTTGGAGCCGAGGGCAAGAAGGGAAGGGTGGGGTTTATGACAAAAAGATGTATCTTGAACAAAACATTTTTTTCGGTGGTGTGCATGATAATGGCATTTTAATGAAATGTTGACATGGCTTGGAATGTGTAGCAAATGTTGTGGAGAATTTGTTTAAAAACCAATTATCAAAATAATCCTGGAGGCCACCTTTACTTATATGAGCCTTGCCACTATATATATTTTAAATTGTATTTGTTTAAAATATAGATTTACATGGAATTGTATAACGATATATAATCAATACATATAATAGTACATTAGAATATGTAATTAGAATATTCTGTGCTGCAGTTCTCAGAGTTTGCAAACTGCTTCACTGCAGTTTACCGCTGAAGGTATCTAACAATGTTTTAACTCTGCTGTCTAGAAAAAGTAGGACTTATATCACACATTGTTCTTACTATCCATGATCCCATGCTCTTCCGAGACAATTGGTCTCTGCTTTTCACCCAGAACAGGGCTTACCTGTTTGCTTTCTTTCTTTTATTGATGAAAAAGCCTTAGCATGTCTTTACTTTCTCCCTTTTCCTCTTCTTTCCTCTGTGCTTCTCTATGGCACTGACAAGGCAAAAGGCAGCCTGAAAACCTGTGAAAACCAGAGCACAGATGACCTGTGCATTAGTCTTGTCTGCAGCCTTAATTCCCCTTAGCCGTCTGAGAGCAGCCACACTCCTGATTCCATGTTGGATTCTAATTTGGTCAGGCCTACTCAGAAGGAGCTGGGTGGTGAGCAGCAGCACGCGGGCGCTGGTCACCTGCTGCACCTCACTCCCTGTGACACGCACTGCCTCTGCTGCATGTCAGAGCTCCCAGTACCAGTAGTGACCATCAGGATGTTCATGTCTCCGGACCATAGACATTCTCACCTGCACATCTGAGAGCTGCTTCCTGAAGAAGGCACTTCTAGACCTGAAGCAGATAATCTGCTTTTGAGCCATGCCTCCTTATCAGCCAGAAGAAAAGCAATCTCCGGTTGAACCAGAAGTTCCCATGCCTAGGGTTGATGATCATAGTGCCACAGAACTATCAATTTGTCTTCCTGGAGAGCATTCTCAAGTTGCGGACAACTTTTACTCCAAAAGATATGGAAGCACTGCCTCTAAAGGCATGGCTTAAGCCAAGAGCTCTGAGACGTCTAGTGGCAGCAAATCTGTGGAGCTGGAACCTGTTCTTGGACCTTCACAAGTGGGAGGCTTCACCTCGGATTCCACATCCTGTCCCCTTAATCCTCATAAGGCACCGTTGTCCTCTGACTCTGAGGTGTGAGCCTCAGACTTCTCCAGTGAGCAAGGCTCCATGGAATATTTACCAAGCAGCTTCTAACTCCACAGACCCCTCACCAGCTGGAGGACAGCAGTGGCAGCTAGAAAGGATGCCAACCCACGAAGAAACCAGACTGAGGCGATAGCTGGGAAGATTTTCCTGTACTTGCCATAAAACTCTGTGAGGTCCTGTTAACCAGCTCTGGGATAATTTGTCAGTCCTGTCACTGCAGGGCCGCTGTCTCAGAGCCGCAAGCCCTGAACTAGTACTTGCGATGGCGCTGAAACGGCTTTCTTCCCCCTGCTTTTCCCACACTGCACCTCCTCGCTTCAAAAGCAGAGCCCCAAATGAATCTGGCCACTTAGCACTAGACCTCATGGTTTCTGATGCTGCGGTATTTTTGTTGTCCATGCTTCACTCTTACCCCCTTCAGTGGCCTCTCTTGTTCTAGAAGCAAGTCAGAAGCATCTGTTAGTTCATCTGCTCCAGCAGGACATTCCTCCTCTGCTGGCAAAGGCAATAAAATTTTCAGAAGACTTCCCTTTCTAAGAACTGGAAAATATCGTCTTCTTGACAGAGACCAAAGGCTGGGGGAGTCCCTTGGAAGCCTTTGGCCAGGCAGCGCACAATCCCACAGCATCAGTTGCCTGGCATCCAGAGCAATCCACTAGCCCTTGACTGCCTTGTATATCTGATCCAGTGGTCTTGTGTCTTAGGATGAACAAGACCACGCTGAACCATCAGGGGGCACAGTTCTTTCACCCTCCAGGTGTCCTCCTCAGTGCTCCTTCAGGTGCAGCAGAATCTGCTCCATCTCAGCTCCACACATTCAGGCATCCCTGAACTCCATGGCAGATTACCTGAGCTGCACACAACTGGACCCAGGCAAGTGGATCCAGAAATTTGGATCCAGTCAGCTTTCGTGAATTTACAGAGATACTTCAGATCTCTCAGCACAGACTTTTCCTTCCGGGCCAACCATGCGTTTCCTTCCACAGGTGGCTTCCTCATACAGGTTCTTCTCCAGATTCTAGTCCCACTGACCAGGAGCCCTGGATGTGCTAATCACGAGGTGACCTCAGGGACGGTTGTATGTTCCTTCCTAACGTCTGGCCATGGTTCTCCAGTAGATAAGAAGCTACAGTGATCCTGGTGGCCCCCTACTGGCCAAAGCATTCCTGGTCTTGAGAGAACCTCCAGCTTGCCATAAACAGCTGCTGTTTCTTCCAGATGAACCACAGCTTATCCGTTCTCTTTGGAAAGTTGTGCTGGTATGGAATACTAGGTGTCTCCACCAGCCAGGTCAGCTGAGAACTCAGTCCCAGGGCTTGGCACCCTTTTAGGGAAACAGGAACACCTCACAAGGCTGCCCAGACCAAGCCACACCTCCACAAGTGTTTTCAAGGTTCCTCATGCTATCATTAATGTGTGACAGTCTTATGGGATGGCTTGGTCTTTCGTTGTGCATCTCAGGCATGCCTGGATATTTTCAAGAGGGCAAAATTAACATTTTGTCTGATTTTTTTTTAAGTTACAAGTGTACACACCAAGTTAAATAGGAAAAGTGGCCCTCCTTGAGTTTGATGGGTAGACCTTGTGTGGTGAGCTGCCCCTCAGTGCAGACAGCATCTCTGCTTGGCACTCTTGAATAACACAGGTATAAATGCCTGTTGATTTTTCTACCTGTTCTGTCTGTTTCCAGCATAAAATAACAAGGCTGTGCTTCAGGTGCTTGCATGGGGGTGAGATGACTGAAATGTCCATTTTCAGCATGTTGGAAGCTTTGAGAAATGCTCCTTAATACTCTGTTTTCTTCTAATTGCTAGCTAGCAGGTTCCGCTGCAGAAAGCTGAGGTTGCTGCTGCTGAATTTTCTGTATGAATCTAAATGAAACTTTTCTTGTTCACTATCTGTTTGTTATGTGGACTTTGCTCTGTGAATATGTATGCTATTCTAGCCTTTCTTTGTGAAACCGGCTGCTTTTTCCGTGTATCAGATAAGTTGCATTTACTTGATCAGGTGAACTAGAAGATAGCTTTTCAAGGTTACAGCATTGCTAACTCTAAATGAATATCAGCAGTTTCTGTATTATCACTCTTTGTTTCATATAAGGCTTAACTACATTAAGATTATATATAAAATTGACAGTTCTCAGACATAATGTGCACAAGTACACCTGCTTCAGTTTAGCTGTGAACTTCGCTTGTTCTATTTTTTATTTTCCATTAGCAAGAAAGCCCTGTGGCTTTAAAACCTTCTAGTGTGATATCTGCTCATGCATTATTTAATGGGCATTTCAGTGAGTAAATTTAATTGGATAATATCAGAGCTGTCTGAAACTTATTTCAGATGTAGATTAGAAATTGCTTTCTTTTGTGGAGCTATCTATAGGTGCTTCTGCAATGGAACTTGTTATCTCTGTTCTTTGTTCTGGATTTTTTCACAGCTGTGCATTCACACACTGGCGTTCACAGCAGGTTGTATAAAAAAAATGGCCATAGGAGAGTGCTGCTACAGAGCTTAGTAGGAACTTGGGTTACCCTGATATTGGCATACTGTCTTTTCAGTCATCCTTCCAGCTCTTGCTTGTGGGAGTTTCTCTGAAAAATCAGAGGAAATGACCACTTCTGACAAGGGTGTTCATGTGTGTGCCTCCATGCTTCCATTTTGTAGACAAAATACCTCAGAAAGAGACTCTAAATATGTTCTTACATCCTGAAAAATAGGAGCTGTCAGCTTCCCTCATGCAAAGATAAGAACTGAGGTAAAGACTGTCAATGTATGGCATCTAATGAGAAAGGGATAATAATAATTATTATTACTATTACTATTACTATTACTATTATTACTATTATAACATTTCTATGCCGCCCCTTGCCGAAGCCTCGGGGCGGCTTCAGGGAGGGAAAGGATATAGTCAGATTAGTTGTTGGTAATAGAATGAAGGACATGGATTTAATTTTCTTAGTGGAAGATAGAGAACTTAAAAGAGACATGCATCAAAAGTATTAAATGGTTTTTATTCTGCTTATTGGCTAGAACTTCAGCCTACCTTGCACATGAGATGAATTAGACCTTTCATGAATGCCTTTCCGCCAGAACTGTGTAAGGAATGTTTAGATGAGTTCTGAAATGGTTTTATTCTATAAGGTGCTTTATGACTGATTTTAGGGTTTTTCTGCAGTCTCTTTAGTTTTTGTTTGTTTGTTTTTGGACTTATGTGTGCTAACTGCTTGAAAATTGGTTGATGTTCTGCTGCTACTTTTGAACATTACAAGAAACATTTAAACCATGCATTTTTAAAACTGGTAGAAATGATTCAATTTAAATAGGGTCTTCTCGTAAGTGGTAGGAAGCAATGTGAAAAGGCAATTGCATTCATATGATCTTAACATTTACATAAATTATCTGATTTGGGTTTGTCGGTGCCATTCCTAGTAAGTGTATCACTAAATCAAGGTATCTGGTTCCACCTTGCCTGTCTCTATCTGCTGTTTTCTTTATGATGTGCCTTTTGAGGAAAGGAGTTTGCAAACCAAATTGGTCTGATTCCCACAAGGGATTTCTCTGCTTGCTTATCTTTTTTCTCTTACGATTCTATGCTTAAGATGTACTAGAGGTGGATTACACTGGGAAACCATCCCACTGGACAAAGGCACCCTTGGTCTGACTCGTCTGGCAGTCTTATGGTTCAATAATTTCAGCTCCCCTGTATTCCGGTAACCTGTCATGTCTGTCAAAAAGTTGACACTAGTGATGTCCTTGTGCAGAGCTTGAACTCTACCGTAGGAGAGTCGTAATATGAAAGTACATGTTTTGTGATTCTTCTGTTTCTCTTAACAGGAACAGCTGAGGGCAAGTGGCTATGAAAGAATTCCTAGCCATAGTCCAGTTCCGAAGATTGATACAGGACTTTCAAGTATTCCAAGTAGCAATGAGCTGCAAAAGGCCATTCAGGCCCAGGGTTGCCAAGTGGTTGAATTTCCAGAGGTGAATGCAATTCAGACTAGACCAGAGTCTGGAGCTGACAGTACTCTTCCAAGTAATTCAGAGATTAAGCCCTTGAACAGTGTCCAGCGTCATACCTGCAGCACGCCTCAAACAGAATCTGACAACCTCTTGGGTTCCAGGGACGGTTCGTGTGTGCCCCTGTGTGATTCCACAGGCGCACATCTGATGGGCCTGACAGACGCCTCTGAGCCAGTCATAGCGGAGGAAGGGAGTGTGTCAGCCCAGGCAAAGCGGACGGTGGGCAACTCTCCTATGGAAGCTGCCAAGCAAATTACTTCCATCACATTCGCTTCCCGTAAAAGGTCATCTTCTCCTTCTCGTGTGCCCTGTGCAGACATTTTGGAAGCTGCTCCTCATGATCTGGTAGCCTTGGAAATCCACTCTGCTAGCAGTGAGAAACCGAAGCCTAGTCAGCAGCAGCAGCAAAGTGAAAAGCCCCTTGCTTTGACAAGTCCAGCAGCCATTTGTTTACCAGATAAGAGTGTTGAATTTTCTCCAGATGGAGAATGCCATCAGCAGGTGACCATAGTTGTCAGCAAGAATGAATCTCATCAAGAAAAGGGCCTTGCATCAGGGGAAAAAGCCCAAGCCTGTATTGAGCAAAATGTTCATCTTATTACAGAAAAACTTGAGGAAACCCAGACTTCTTCGCAAGTTTTTACCAGGCTGAGAAGTTACGACAAGCCTTTAGAGGAAGTGTATAATAACAAATCTAATCCCAAAACAATAATGACTGATCAGCTCATTACTGTGAACCGTGCTGTACAAATTACAGATCTTGCTTGTTTCCAAGATGGCATGGAAAGCTCTGATTCAATCCCTGAGCCACTTTTCCCAAAAGGTGAAGAGAGTGTGTTGACCCAAGAGAATACGTTTACTTCTGATTCATATCTGTGCAGGGTTCGAGAGATGGACACTGGAAGTAGCAGTCTCTTATCTTCTTCCTCTGACCACATTTTAACAACCATGCCAGGCTCTCCATCTACAACCAGGAAAGCCCTGTCTGGTGTCCACATTACTCTGTCTCCAAAGCTTATTGATTTGGATCTTTCAAGTCCAATGGATGCTACAGCTGAAATGAGACAAGTTGTTGGCTTTAGAACCAGTTCCCCACCAGCAACTATTACTGCTCCAACTCCTTCATTAGGCACTGCCTCTAAGTTAGAATCTGCAGAAGTTCCCCCAAAGACCCAAGATTCTTCCTATTTCCCAAGAGCACCATCATCAACAGATTCTCACTTTAGGGAATCCCATGCTCCATCTGAAACAAAACAAACCCTATACCAAAGTCAGGAGCTACGGGGAAGCAGGCAGAATCTTTCAGCAACAAATCTAGGAAGCGCTGAAGTTCTGGCTTCAGGTGGACAGTGTCTAGAAGATAACTCAAAGACGACAGCTGCTTCTCAAACAGAAAGGATGTCATCGGATGCCATAACTCAAATAACAATGGAAAGCCCTGAAAAGACGACCTATTCTGCAGAGATATTTGTCAGCGCTGACAATGGTGATGCTCTGAGCCTGCGTCAGAGGAGCAGTGGCCTCCTGAGCACCACAATGCCTGCTGTGAAGCAGGTCTCCATTTTGACCAGAGAGGATGGTGAGAAATCTAATTTGTTCTTTGATCTGAAGACACGCACTGACAGGTCGGGTGGGATGTTTGTGATGGCAGCTTGCCAAATTAATGGTTAATTAATGGTTGAATAAAACTGTAAATGCTGATAGTTACCTATCCAGGTATATAAGATTCCTTTTTGAGTAAAGGAAGAACAGAGCTTGTTCATTCCTTGCTTTTATATTGTCAGGAAGCTATTCGGTGTAGTTTGGGGGCCAGTGAAGGCATGGATATTCTTAGTAACCACTTCTAATCTACTAATCACTTATTGGTTTGTGCAAAGCCTTCCAGGAACATGCATCTCACCAGAATCTGCCTCATTTGTTCTTGAGGGGAAGCAAAGGGCACAGCCGTGCTGTGAACCCAGATCTCGGATCCAAGAGCGGCGTCGACTTCTGCAGAAGTGAAAGTAGTTGCACATCTTTCTTGAGTTGAAATCCACGCTCTGTGTGTGTTGGGGAATTGAGCAGTGCAATATTGTCATCTTAGCCACTCAGATTCTCTTTTGAGCGTTCAGACATCAGTCTGCGCAAGAAATCCTAGCCCTAAATCGCTTGATTTTTCATTGAGCCAGTTTTGTGGCTGTACTTCTTTGTTGCTGCTGGCGCTGGGTTATTGACACCAAAACTGCAGCAACAATGCGCTTCTGTGAGACTTTATTCTGAGAGAAACTTTAGCCCGTGGCTCTGATTCTGAGTCAGAGGGGAATGCTGTATAGCCAAGCCCCACCATGAGGAACCAGATGCCTGAGAACTGGGTTCCGCTGGGCCTCCTACCAGCTTATGAGCTGAAAGGGGTGTTATACTTGGGATTTGTCTGAACTGCTACCCGTGTGTGATGCGTGTTCCAACCCCGCCCCCTTTGGGAAGTTGCCAGATCTTTTACTGGCCCCTTGTGTTTGCTTTGTGTGTCTGTTTCCTCCATTTTCTGTTTTAATACACACTTGGATACACTTAGAATTCAAAGAATTGTTTTATAACGGGAGGGGTAGAATAGATAGAGATCTCTCTGAATAGAGATATAGATGCAGTCACTCCTTGTATTTAAATGGGCCTTAGAGCTTGCTGGAAGCAAAATCTTTGTAACCTGGAAAGTGTCCCGGTCTTGCTGTTCAGACAAAACTATAAACGTGTCCATTGTATTCAACTTGCTGAGCCCAAAGCCAATTCAATCTTTTGTGGAGAAACTACAAAACTGATCCTGGTCAAGAAATTACACGATGATCTGTGATCTTCAAATATGTGTTGGGATGGATCGCACTCATTTATTTTTATTTATTTATTTATTCAAGCTTTTGAATAAATAGCCACATGGCTCTCTGAATGGTTTACAGCAACTAAAAACCATCACACAAAACATAAAAATCCAACATTATTAACAAATTCAACAAATAAAACATCCATTCCATCAGCAGGAGCACCAACTGTGTTGACTTCACAGAATGAGCCTGGTTCCTTTAATGTTTTTCTAACACAGTACCATAATTGGACATTCTTCCAAGTGTCCTCACTGAGGTTTTAGACCATGGGTCTATACTTATGAATGGCTCGAATAGGAGAATGGAGACTTTTCCCTGCCTTTGAGTTCTCTTATGTGTCTGTTGGACAGTGGCCCCGTTCCTGCCCTGTAGCTGTGACAGATCTGAACCAGGCTGTGTAAGGAGTGCTGCTTGAATTGTAGTTCCTGGCCTTAGGGAGGGGCTCCTAGCTCGGCCTCCTGGGCTGGTCTTCTTCAGTTGGAAGCAAACTGCCTCCCACTGGGCTGAAAAGAAAGGAGCTCCATGCCTGGACTGCTGCGTGGCAAACAAGGAGGAGGTGAATTCATAGATAAGGGGTGTTCTGTTTTGTGGGCTGGGGAAGACCTGGTTCTTTAAACCAGCCCTGGCAATAATATGGATAGGCAATCTGTGCCCACAAGGCAGCCGACAGCAGGCTCCTGCCACAGGTGATTCCATCTGGCAGAGTGTAAACGATCAGCACCGTCTCTTCGACTGGCTCTTTGGCTGTTGTGAGGACACAGAGGAGATCTCGTACGCCTTCTGTGTTAGCTGCCCAACAATAGTGTGTTCCCGTGTCCTTACCATTGTATCACATCCAGTGTTCGAATCGCTGCTTTGTCTTGCGCTTCCTGTTTTCTGTTTCTGCAGGCACACTCTTGTTGCTGCCATACAAGTCCCCTCAGAGTCCAGAAGTGTACTACCTCCCTTGTCCAAAGGAAGTGCTCAGACTCTCGCGTGTCAGGTCAGAGACCACCATGGAGAGCTCCCACTCAGGTATGTTAGACTGGCCTAGTCTCGTGTAGTTCTCTTTGTGTTCCCTGTTTATACTGACTTAGACCATTGGCTTACCAGATTTACTTCTCTGTAAGGTATTCTGAACAGTCTTCAAGGACTGCCCCACACAGAGTGCGTTGCAGTAATCTACCAGAACATAGATCGCTGATAGCAGGCGATTTTTGCCCAGAGAAGGGCATAGCTGAGCCACCAGCCAAAGTTTGTGGAAAGCTGCTCCAAGCCACTGAAGCCACCTCAGGTGACAAAGTGCAGCCCCATTCAGAACAGGTTGAATTCCCTCCCATCTGGTCAGAAGAACCACCCGCCAACAGCATCTCAGTCTTGTCTGGACTGAGCTTCTGTTTGGTAGCCCTCAGCCAGTCCAGTGTCACAGCCAAGCACCAGTTCAGCACATCTGCAGACTCACCTGTTGAAGAGGAAAAGGAGAGAGAGAGCTGTGTGTCATCAGCATATTGATATGCCTGGGATATGTAACTCATTAACAGGAAACACATCTTCACAACTCTGCAGAGCAGATTAAGCTTCGAGAATAGAAGTGGCCCAAGGTAACTCAGTGAGCTTCATGGAAGGATACCGAACCGAAGCCAGGTCTTTCCATTGCTAGTCTAGTGTCTAAGGATTTTACCACACCTGGCTGTTATTTTTGAGATTTGTTGAGGGAATTTACTGTTGTCTCAAGCTGTTACCGAGTGCCTTGTTGTGTAGATAAGCAACTGTTAGGATTTATCCCTATCTTTTGCTATTCCTTTCTACTTAGACCAGTGCCCTTCAGCCTCCAGTCCTTTGCAGAGACCAGAAAATGGCTGGGGCCGTGTTTTGCTTAATGCACAAGTGAGCAACCCTAGCCTAATTCCATGTGACCGTTCAAAAGTGCTCTGCAGATGTTCAGTTCAGATCTCTGGTGAGAGTGCGGGGGGGGGGGGGGGGAAAGGGAAAGTAAGGGGAAAGGCCCTGGCTCCTTTGGGTTTGGCCTTTGCTGGCATAGGCATGGGAGTGGATCCAGAATGTGCGAGTGTGAAAGACCAGACAGCAGAAGCCTGCAGTGGTGCAGGTAGGAGATGACCAGGGCACGGGCCAGTAAGCACCGGTCTTCATCTTAAAGCTGCCTCTTGTTAGGCGAGTCAGAAACTTGTGTTGCTGCCTAATTGATTTTCACTGTTGTGTGTTAAGTCTCCCCATTTGTGTCTCTTCCATAACTCTGTACGCTGCTTTCCTTCTCCACAGGATCAAACGATGCGGTCCCACCAACATTCCCAGCACATGTGCTTGGCTCAGGGAATGAGATTCCTCCAGATGCTATAGCTATCAAACACAAAGAGGGCATTTATAGTAAAAGGGCTGCACTTACAGATGCTTGGACAGAAGAAAAAGTGGCAACACAGAAAGGTGTTAAAGGTGACAATTACTCTCTTTCTCTGATGAGTGCACAAGTCATTACAGTAGCCTTCCTTTTTTAACCTTTTATACCAGCAAAATATTTACCTTGCTTTGGAAGCCTCTTGTGCACAGAGTTCCAGAAATGTTCAAGGTTCAACTTGTAGGAGGAAGAAATGATACAATGATATGAAATAATTCCTAGTTTGTGCTGACCTGCCAGACACTCCTAGGTGAAGATACTATCTGAAGACACAAAGTTTTCCATCACCAGAATTATCCCTGTTTCTTCGTTGAAGTCTCTTGGTAATAGGAAGGCAGAAGTGTCTAGTTGTTAACTCCTGCATTTGCAAAATCAGGAGAAAGTTCAGCAATGTGCTTGCTTGGCGGTAGGTTTCCTGAGCTTGAATGGGATGAAATGAGCTTTGGGATCTCCTCACAACTGATCTGTCTTCACAGCAGAGAAAGTGGAATGTGTCCCTTGAGTGAGTGCATTTATTAACTTTCTGAATGAAGAATTACTCTGTGTCTGCTTTCTCTGCTGCAAGCAGATATTCATTGCACTACAGAGAAAAATAATTGTATTATGCAGCATTCTGAATATGCAAGTCAGAACCCAATAACATAATTATGGCAGCTAGCAAGGGATGGGGGCTGTGCCACCTTCTGCTTCGCCACCTACCTAGTTGCACAATCTTGAAGGCTTATCTGCAGTCCCCTCAAGTACACAGGAGCTTTTAATAATTCCCAGGACAGCTAATAGGAAGGAGGGGATATATTATAAAAATATAAAAAGATTAGAGGTCTGCCTGCATTCTGCTTCTGATACGGGAGGTATCATACAGCTGTCATGATGATCTTGCTCTGATCCCTATTCAAAGCCATTCTAGCTGGCAGCTGTCATGAGCAGTTAGTAAATTCCATGGTTTGTGATAATAAATTGTCACAAACGTTTTATGGCCTGACTATCTGAAGGAACATCTCCTTCTGTATGTACCTCCCCAGACCTTAAGGTCATCCACTGAGGTCCTTCTCCTTGAGCCACCTTTAAACGGTGTAAGATTACTGAAAGCAAGTATACACGGAAGGAAGCAATTCTTCCGGTTGCTTGGCCCAAGCACTTTGCACTTTACACATTAATATCAGTGCTTTGAATTAAACCTAGAAACAGGTTGGAAGTCAGGGCAGAAGTCAGTGGTTGCCCTTCTCTGCTGCTTTTCCACCTCTGCAGTGATCTACACAGTATTTCTGACCAGGTTGCTCCATCAAGTTATATAAAGGCATTACATTGGCAGTTTTATTTTTGAATCCTTATCTTGGGCCTAACTGTGCAAAAGTATGGCAGCTGGGCACATACCAATGAAAACTGATTGGATCAGGGGGAATTCTCCCAAATATATCAGCTTGTTTATCTTCTGCAGCAGGGAGGAAAATGGGGGTCGTCCCAGTCCTCACAAGTGTTCTGGTTCATGTTTAAGTTAAGGAAGTATACAATTGGTTTACAACAACCCATAAAATAATACAATACAAATACCACAACAATGTTAAAATAAATTTCGAAAATTAAAATAGATAATTGATATTAATGTTACCATTAAATAATCAACATGTTTCCTCTGTATAAACATGTCCATTTTTATTTCTAGTTTGGAGTGAGAACAGTAAGTAGCAGCTTAGCAGCCAGGAAACAAGAAATTCTAGCTGTGCCATTGCAGTGATGTACAGCTGATCGACGGGAGAGAATATTGGTTATACAGAGCCCACTTTTACGTGTCTCAGGGCTTCCTCTCCACCTGCAGCCACTTCCTTCCAGCTACTCAGATGCTTCTTGTGCTTTCACGAATATGAGATGCACCTCTGAACGGCAGCGTGTGTGGACTGGCATATTTATCGGTGCCAGAAGGAACATTTCCTAGGCAGCCAACCAAAGTGCCATTCCTGTGTTTGATTACATCTTTGAGGGTTTCTGGGGCATCTCTTATTTTTTGTCAGCTGTTTAGATTGCATCAACTGGGAAAAGATAGAACTGACCTTTTAACCTCTGACCCAACAGAACATGGAGAAAGACTGAGATAAGCGAGAGATCTTTCATATTTGCTGGTTCATACACATGGTCATCTAAACTTGACTATAGGGACTTGCCCATTGTCTGACTTGACTGCCAATGGATTTTTGCCTCTGTGTTGGGCTCATTTCTGGTATCAAAACTAGAAGCATGTCTCCTCTAACATCTTTGTCTTCCTCTGTCAGTGCAGAATCAGCATTTCAAAGCTTTCTTGCTTCACTGCTGAAGGAGAGAAAGAAATGAAACAGAATCTGTAAACAGCAAAAGAATTAGAGCAGAACAACAAAGCGTTCTAGGAAGTGTGATCAGAATATATGAGCCTTCACACAAGCTTACAGGGCCACAACCAGCTATATAGTTCTCATAAAAATCGTGAACTGAGGCTGAGGAATAATTCTTATCTGTGTGGCTTTGATCAGCTCCTGCAGTGGAGCAACATACATGCCTCTTGAAATGTTACCATAAAAGAAAGTACATGCGGACATTGGGAAGGCAAGCGTGGTTGAGAGTGCGTGTCTGTGATAGTAAAGCAGAGCTCTGTTCTGCCACTGGAAAATCTCTCAGCCTATAACCAGATAATTCAGATTCTACGGCCTGAATAAATGCATGCAGATTGTGAAGACTGCAGCTCTCTTTTGCAACTGGAAGAGCAAGTGTGTGTTGACTTCTTTGCAGACTGCAGATTCCAGAGTCCCAGGCCTCTTTCCAAAATATGTTTCCAACATAAGTTTTCATCTCGGTTGGAAATAGAAATTGGAAAATATTTACTTCAGACCCTGATTGCACAATAAAGCTGAGTTCATAATTCTCTAAACTTCTATCATGCACCCTTTTTTTCTTTAGTTAAATGCCCCAACTTCATGCACCTCTTGTTCTGTGCTGAAGATGTGTTAGTCTGCAGACCACTTTGCTTGGAAAATGCACCGTTTTACTTTTAAAAAAGGAGCTTACATGTAATCCTTTGTCAGCTGCAGTTCAAATCATAACATGCTTTGTATACATAGTTCTGCAATATATTGTTGATACGGTAATTTAATTTTTGGTATACAAGTAGTAGTCATATACAGTTTATGCCACAAGTTAATGAATAAAGTACACTGTGAAGTTAGAATACAGTGGTCATGCAATGTAAGCAATTCTTTCTTCCTGGCTGGACATAATGACTAAAACTTCTAATTTCTTCTGCTTTCCCTACCCCCTCTGCCTACTTAGAAAATGCCAAAATCAGGAATCCCTTGGAATCCGTTAAAACAGTTCATTCAGTCCTCAGACCTGCTCAGTTTTACCTGCACCATCCAGTGGCTCTGCAGCATGAAATTGACTTCCTTCCTGGGGATGAGGCCTTGGGGCAGTGTGCAAGAAAAGAGCTTCCAGTCCTTTCTTCAGAAGATGTCTCCCACTGCAGGGGAATTCCAGAGAGAAATCATCAGCCAAAAGCGGAAGAACAGTTATCCCCACTGACTGCTCAGCTAAATTACAGTTTTGTCGAGGAATTAAGGTTCAGTAAGACTTTGGAGAGAGACTTTCTAAGACAGGAAGTAGCCCAGCAGGATGGGAGGAGAGCTAGTCATGAAATGGTTAAAGAGCTACCTTCTCCAAGCAGCCAAAGGATCCACTTAAAAGAGAAACCAGAGGCTAATTTCTCTTTGTCGCAAAATGCTTATTTCACTAGTGGTTTAGATGAACTCTGGTCTAAATACTTAGAGCGTCAGAAGCAGCATCAGCACCGTAATCCTGGTAGCAGCAGAAATGAGCTGTCTCTAGTAGAGCGACTTGATCGATTAGCTAGACTCCTGCAAAACCCTGTGCGGAACGCCCTGGTCCCTGCTGCAGACGAGCAGAGCAGTGTGCAAGCGGCCCCGAAGAGGAGTGAGCCCAGGAAGATCAACACCCAAGGAAGAATGACACACAGAAGTAACTGCACATTCCAAAACACTGTAGGAAAGGTGGAAGAGAGCCCCAATACCGTGAGAAAGGCACAACCATCAAAAGCCAGGCACCATAAAATTCAAAAAGCTGTTGACCAGATGGGTGGACGTTTAGAGCAGCATCAGGACTCCGATACTCTGAGTTGCATCTCTTCAGGGCTGAGGAACGTCAAAGATAGCAGCGTGTTCACTGGCCTCACCTCTGAGTCAGAAGGGACTCTTCCAGAAACAGAAAGTGCCACTCAGACAGAGGCAAGTAGTTCTGTCTCCACCATCAACACAGCCCGACTGATCCGGGCTTTTGGGCACGACAGGGTTCAGGTCTCTCCAAAACTGTCCCAACTGTACAGCGCCATCAGCGTGCAGAAGACCCGCTCGGAGAAGTGGGCCAAGGGAAGCAGGAAAGACCAGGGAGCAAGACCCTCCAAAACGGCTCGTGTGGAGCAAGAAGGAAAGGATGCTCAGGTATGGTAATCCACAGGAGGATCCAGCAAGGAACCCTCTTGGCATGTTTGTTAGGATTTGTGGGAAGGAGGGAAAAGGAAAGAGCAAAGGTCAAGCCTTGGGTGCAGTCCCTTAAACTTCCTTGATCTGACTCACCTTTCCCTACATCCACCTCTTTTCACACAGTGTTTGGATGAAAACGGGACTAGAAAGTTCTGTGTGTGTGTGTGTTTTTTTTTTTTTTTAAACCTGTCAAAAGAAGGTCTCTCTCTCTCGTTTTCTACTCTGGCAGACTCAGCTGAAACTTTAGAAGCAGAGTCATTCTATTTAAACTTAACAGGTTACAAAACAGTATAAATCAAAGTGGCATTCTCTTTGAGAAGTGGGAGAAGCGTCTGCCCATGAAAAAAGCTGAATCCAAACCGAAACCTTCCCTCCCTTTCTGAAGATTCTGATGCTACCTTCAGGGCACCCCCCCCCGCCCCGCTGTTTGAGGGCTAGGGCGCCCTCTTCATTGGTCTGCTTGTTTCACCCGTGGTCTCCCGACCAGACCAAGGGCCCCCTCTCCAGCTGCTCTGCCCCCTGCCCACAAGCTTGCCAGTTCTGAAGTGTCTCCCTCCTTTCCCAAGGTCAACTGGGTCTCCTCCTCTGTTCGAGAATCTTCGCTAGGCAGCTTTGAAACTGCCAAGTCACCTGCCCCTCTGCCTGCTCCTCAGAATCAGACAAATCTGAACAGACAGTAACACGGGGGAGCTGGCCCGTGCATATCCGTGGACCTCTGGTGCTATTCTCTGAGAGGCTGCCCTCCAAAGCTCCGTAGCAGCTGCCGTGGGAGGCCGAGAGGCAAGGACTGGGTTCAGGCAGCACAACAAGCCACACTTGGGTATGACTTCTGTGTGAGTTGCCCTTGAGCCAAGGGTTGTGGCTGAAGTATAGGCTACCACGTTGTCTCTACCCAGCAGCGTGAAAAAGCATAGTTTGTTAACCACAAGGAGCTCATGAAGAGACTCCATGGCTGTTGGGTTGTGGGTTGTTCACCATGGTTTGCTCTCTCGGCTGTGTGTTAATGAGAGTTCCATCTAGTTCAGCCTTTCCCAAGTATTTGCTGTGCTGCCTAGGAGGAGAGGAACTGTGGGACCACACATTGAAGGAACTCAGGTTGGCAAAAAAATTGAACTGGTCAGGTGTATTCACTCTCTGTTAAGTGGTAGACGGCATCGCAGACCGAGGCGCCAGTGAGAGGGCCCCCGCTCTGCAGAAGCTGGTTGGCAGTACAGATTTTTCCTGCCGTTTCTGACATTGAGCATTTTTTGCATGCACCCTTGGGGGGTGGGGGGGGGTCCTGCAGATGTAGAAATTGGAAACAGCACAGCCATTCAGATTAATTGAATGGGCTCTTTTTTTGGCATCTCTCATTATGATTTTTCCCCATGCAGAGAATAATCAGATCACTCTCTTGAATAACACACAAAGAAACACTCAGGCCTTATCAGGTCCAAAGACCAGGTGAGAGAACTGTTTCTTAAGCGTTTTTGTATAAAGGTGAAAGAGCCTGATTCTTTCTGGTTAGTACTTGCACGTGGTGAAAACATCCCTTTTAACAGCAGTGCAGCAAAAATCATTGTGTTGGAATCCGCCTAGAAGGCGCCTTCCATGTTTTAAAGGTGATGAAAAGGCTGAGCTAAAAAGGGTCATTATCAATATTTATTTTACTTGTAGAATGTTAAACATCCATATGAACTGGGAAAACGTCATCTTGATTATTGAACTGTTGATGATACTATTTTGGACTTTGGACTCTATTGATAGCTGGATCCGCTCCTTGTAAGAGTGGAGCTCCATCAGTCCTAGCCCACCTGGTGGGAGTTGGAGGCCAATGGCATACTCCCCACCTGTCCCTTACAGTACATCTGTTTTGCTGGGATATCCCCAAGTTGCTTCAATACAGTTGAAAGAAAACTTTCTTGTGATCATTGCATGTTTTTTCTGGACTCAGTGGAATTTTTTATGGATATGGGAGAGTGCTTGAGGATCCAGTGAGGTGGTTCTTTTAGGAAGACGGGATGGTGATCTCCCAGCTGGACTTGGTTGTGCTGAGCTGTGCACCTGCGAGTAAATTCTGCTGCTCATGGTGGACCTTTACTTGGCATGTGAGTTCAGAATATGCGAGGCACTTCCTCTGTGTTTGCCTTGTGGAACATGGCACATCATCCTGTATATATTCCCTCCTCGATACAGCGGTGGTGGGAGGCATAGTTCGCATGTGGAGCGTTCTGGGTTGTATCCATGGCATCTCCAGGTAGAGTTGCGGGGCAGCCTGGCCTGAAACCCTGGGTGGCTGCTGCCAGTCAAGATTGAGTTAGGTGAACCAAAGCTTTGACTTGGCACGGGGCAGGTCTCCCTGTCGGCATGAGTACTGCAGGGATTTCTCGGGGTGGTGAGGCAAAGCAGGCGGGCCTGCCTGTCGCCCTGAGGTTGTGTCGCCTGCCTCCGGGGAAGTGTCTTGCCATCTGGGCTGGCCTTCCCATGAAACAGCGCGCGGGGCATGCACTGGCTGGCCAGGACGGGAGGAGTGGTGAACTGGACCCGCCGCTGCTGTCCTGTGGTGACACTCTCTGAAGCCAGAAGGTGGCCAGTGGGGCTTTTGGGGCGGCTTCCTGTCCTCTTTGTGCCTTGCCACAGAGCCAGAAGCAGTGGCCGGGTGAGTCTGGCGGGGGGCTTCTCCCGGCCACACAGCTGTTTGCATGAAGAAGCAAACGGGGTGGACAGTGACGGGCATGTGAGGCCAGTGCAAATGGCACAGCAGATGTCATGTGGCGTCGTGCGTCCCCTCCCGCCTTTGGTGTGCAGAGAGCGTGTGCCAGGGCGGCCTGTGATGAACATCGAGTAGAAGTGGCAAATTATTTCCTCCCTAAGCTGTGTGCGTCCAAGCTGAGTTCAGGTGTTTGGAAGATGGAAGTGGAAATTTCAGTGTTCTGCTGATTTGCCAAGACTAATAAGGATGCTTCAACTCACCCTCATCACCCAAGTTTTAAATTAGCATTAATAGTGTTTAATGTTGTTAATAGAATTGCTAATTACTCTGTAGGAATAAAAAAGCTATTGTTTTTCTAATTAAAAATTAAATGTGACAAATTTTGTTGTAATCTCTACTTGCTGTACATTGTGGAAAAATGTCATTAATTGCCATGGTATTTAAGCAACAGTCATCCATATTTGCATAGCTATTAGGATTTTCATGACTAAGTTAATTTTATTCCTGGACAAAACATTTACCTCTGAGCAGTTTGGGTTTTAACCAACAAAAACAAAAACTGGGTTTCAATCAATGTAACCTACTTGTCCATGAGTTATTTTACAAGATAAAAAGGAACCAGTATTTTCTGTCAAAGATAATTGTCTTCTGGCAACTTAAACAGTAGTGTATTTGTTAGGAGTGAGAAACTATACCAGGTATATAAAGTAGGCTTTATCCTACAAAACTCATGCCATGATAAATCTTTGAGCCTTTAAGTCCTCCATGGCCCTTAATCTAAAATCAGCAAGCATTACTACTCTTCTAGAATTTAGTAACTATCAGACCTGCCACTTCCCTGTCTCCTAATAATTTTGTGACTGGGCCAAACTCACCACAGGTTATTTAAGCTGAGATGTGCTGTGGCTCATCCTAGATATTCATGACAACCATTATGTATATACAAACCCCAGAGGGTTTGTGGCATGGCGTGCCAAACCCGTCCACCCTGGGTTATATTCTAGGCTTAAGCAACCCTCACATAAACCCACTAAAGATTGAAACAACTCCTAAATAACACATAGTGATTGAGTTCAGACAGTGGGCCGTACATCAGGAGCTGATGTTTCTACTTTGATGAAACACCAGCCCCAGTGCATTCTCCTTGCAAACATTCTTTATTGCCTCTAGTTCAAGTCCCCCCGACTGAATCTCTGAGCATGCACAGAGTGATTGGTTGAAAGTAATCTAGTGATTACTTCTCCTTAGGAATGTGCCTGAGCCCTGACCCCACAGGAGTGGCTCTCTGAAGGCAGGTCCACTCGTTTTCCGCATGCTGCTTATCTGCTTGAGTCTCTTACCTCTGCTGGTGCCTTGCCACAGGGTTCAGCTCAGAGGGAGGGAGCTGGTCCGCCTCTGGGCACGCCTCATCCCTGGTGGCCCCATCCCACTGGCTGTCCATTTATCCCGTTCCCAGGTTCTGCCTGGTGTAGTGAAGTGTCTGTCCTTGAGCGAAACATCTCTTGCCTTCTCCCCCTGTTGTCTCCCAGGACCTCGAGCCAAATCCTGTTCCCCAGTCTCACCGAGACATTCTGCATCACTTGAATCTGAATCCACTTCTGGGATGCGGCTGGTACCCCGTGGGATCGCTTGCCCCAGCCCACCATCCCTCTTGCCCGCAACACTGCGACAGGCTGTATCAGGGTGTTAAGTGCTATCATCGTCTTTCCTTCTGCTTCTCCCAGTTACTAGGAATGATGGCAGACTTCCTAGATTTTTTTCCCAATAAAATTAAATGCATTTGCATGTAAAATTCTCAGTTGGCTTTGGAAATTTTTCCAGTACATTTTCAGTTTTATTGGAAAACGTTCTGATACCCTAGAACGGGGGTAGACAACGTGTTGCCTTCCAGAAATGTTGGCCTGCAAGTCGCATCATCCCCCACCATTGACTGTGGTGGCTGGAGCTGTGGGAGCCACTGGCTAAACCCTGCGGAGGGATGCAAGTTGCTCACCCCGCCCTAATTTATTTTTATTTATTTTACCTGTGTTAAAGGTAAAGCCAAGAAGCTACCCATGTCAATTTTTCCTGATAAACCACACATATTTCACCAGAAATAGTTGAGGGAAAAAGTGAAATCACATTCAGTGTAAGGTAGGATTCCGTCCTGTGGATGTTTAGACTGAAAAGCCAGCCATACTTTCTTAAAATGTAGCTTTCTTAATATGCATATATATGTAAGCTACCCAAATATCTATGCATGTGGCCATTGGTGTGTATCTGTTGAAAGCCCATTCAATTGTTGAAAGCTTTGCTAGGTCCTCCGTCCACTGCAGTATGGGATGAGAGTGCTTATCCTTCCAGCTGCCTGAGGGACATGGAGAATTCACTCATGTTGACTCTGCATTGACCTTCTGGAAGTAGGTAGGCATTTAAAAGAAAATGCACATCAATAAATATTGATGAACGTACCCATTCAACGTTTATCTGCATTATGACCTCCTCCCCAAAAGTGACAACCACGGGACATTTCCAGAACATGTGATTAAAACCAGTGTCAGCAGCATTATACAGCTAGCAGTTTGTCAGCTTAGACCAATCCTTATTAAGGGGAATATCTATTGCTTTGTCTGATTTTGCTGAAATTCACAATAATAGTATATTTTAAAAGCATACATGGGGTGTTACATTATATTGAGTTTTTTATTGGAATACTTGTGAAATTTTTAAGACCATAACCTGTGCGGCCCTTAGATTGGTTAAATGTAAGGAGAAGCCTCCAAAGTATGGAAAAGAACGGTGCATGATATGCCAACACCCGTTCATCCCTTGATACACACGTCCACTCTTTTCTACTATTTCAATTTTGCTTTCAGTATTTGTCTAATACTGTATTTTTGCAGTTGGCCCACATTCATCTTTACAAATTAACTTACGAAGCAGAATATGAGTGACAAATTAGCCTGCCGCCTTCTGACACCCTTCTGACACACATCTTCATGCTTCTCTCCTTCAGGCAACTGACTCTTTCGTTTCATCAGATTCCACCTCTACCATGAGCAGCTCCCGAGGACCAAGCTCTGCTCTCAGCAACAAGCGGAGCGCCCGCATGTTAAACAAGGCCGTGCAGGCAGGTGAGTAGCGCAGGTACTCCTCCCTGTAGGCACGCCGTTTCTTTTTGTCGAGCTCTTGTTAGAGTCTGAGGTATGCTTTGAGTCGGCCAGGTTCATTCACGGAGCATCCTCTGCCTACATATCTTTACAATTCAGCTCCTTTCACGAAAAGATAGCAAGTGGAACTCAAAGGGATCAGCAAGTCTCTTGCCTGCACTGACTTCTTCAGTGTCAGCAGGGCAGTTCCTTTGTTGTTACTGCGGGTTTTCTTCTCTGGCCTCCCAATAAATCTTGCTCAGAGACCTCATTTGTTCCATGGGGGATACTTCCCACTTGCGAGGACAGCCAAAAGGGTTGGCACTACTTCAGAGAAGTGTAACTTCTGCTCACATGGTTTAAGGCTGCCTCTCCCTCAGGCTTGGCTGCTGCTTTGATGAGGCGCCTCTTCCTCTCTGTCTGTTCCGTGAGATCCGTTCTGAAGCAAGAGCTGCACCGAACCAGGGAAGCAGTGCAGTGGCGCAGTGGCCCCGTCTGCTGCCCGAAGGCTGAGACAGGCACAGTTGGCATTTGGCTTCAGTGCCATTGGAGCTGGTTGCACGGTCGGTGGGAGGAGGAGGAGCAGAGTGTCTGGGGACGGAAGGTGCCTTAGAGGACACCAGCTCAGCCTCCTCCAGGGCACAGTGTGAAGGAGCCAGGTATCCTGCACTGCTTAACAGAAGCATTCGCCATTTCATGTGGAATCTAAGGAGGTGGAGTCCTGGTTTCAGTGATCGGTCCCTCGTTGCTGTAGCGGCTGAGCTGCCTCGGCACCGATCATGGGACTGGCTGGTCCTAGTGAAGGAGGCCCTGGCCCCGTGGCGGAGCCCCTGCTCTGCACGCAGAAGGTCCCCAGCTGAACCCCCGGCATCTCCAGGCGGGCCTGGAAAAACCCTTCTCTGAAGCCTCAGCGGAGGGTTGCTTCCACTCGGGGTCCCTGGTGCTGGGCCAGGCGGGCTCGGGCCTGGCTGTGCAGGAGGCAGTTTCTGGTGGCTTGTGGCAGAGGACGTGGCAAGTGGCGCGAGATGCCTGCCGCTGGTGGTTTTGCTGCATGCGGACGTGCTCCATTATACCTCGTACCTTCTGTAACTGCTGTCACTGATGGCGCTTGAACAGCGTTTGCTCCAAAATTCTCAAGGAAGGAGATTTCGCCGTCTGTCTCGTCCTTTGCCATACATGTCGTGTAGTTAAAAAACTGGAACGCTGCAGCTTGGAATCTTCAAAGGCGCTTTGGCTGTTATGGTTTGCAGAACACATTTGTTGTCTTGACAGTATTCTAATTTGAAAGGCTCAGAAACCAAGAGGAAGGTGAAAAAGCCAGGCTTCACTTCAGTACGTATTTTAATAACTTGGCTTTATTACCAACCTTTATAAGCTGCTTTGTATCTTTAGAAAGTTCCCAAGTAGTAAACAGTAAACAATCAAAATGCAAAAGAGTAAAACGATTTAAAGTCAGGTTCTGCAACTCGATGCTTGTTTCCAAGGCGCAAGCTGCAAACATAGCCAAGTCAATGGGTGCCTGACATGAACAGGAAGCACATTCCGCAGAGAGCCAGCCGCTAGACTAAAGTGGATGCCAAACAGATCTCAGAGCAGCTCGTGCCCTTCAGAAGCGGCTTGTCCCATGATAAGGGGGGGGGGGTGCACGCCCCAGAATACTTTTGCAGTTTTTCGCAGGCAGAGCCAGCTTTCCAGGGTAAAAAATGCCACAGAATTAAATCCAGTATGACCATAGCTGTGATTTGGCATTCACCCATTCGTCTTTACAATTGAGTGTCAAATTATGTTAATTGCTAATCACAGAAATGTGGATGTTTGCTAAGTGTGTAGAGCTATTTCCAATATAAGCATTTTCCAGCAAGTGGCCCTCTGTGTTAAATTAGCTACTTTTCTTTCTGGTACATTTTGTTTTTGTTTTTTCTTCCATGCCAATGTTCAAGCTTGCTTTCCCCTTTTTTTTAATGTATGGGGTTAATGAACTGTTGTCAAAGCTACTGCATCAAAATAAACTGAAATTTGCACTTCCAGGCCTGTGATCTCATTTTTCTGCTAAGTTCTAATATTCAGCGCAGGTTTCACTCTGATTTGGATTAGCAGTGGGCCTTTTTTCCAGACAGGAAAGAAATGTGCAAGTTCCAGGTTTAAATGTATTTTCCAACACCACCCTCACCCCTGCTTGAATGATACACTCCAATTTTAAAATGCCATGTGGATTCAAAGAGAGCTATAATCATGGTGTTTAAACTCATTTGTACATGAGCTTCATTATAGGCACTTACTAGATTTTGGCTGTCAACTGGGCAGGCTGAGATGCCCAGCAACCACCTTTCCTGGGGCGGCTGAGCCGAAGGGATGCTGGAACGGCACACAGGCTGCCTTAGCCATGCAACCGGTGTGGGGCACTTCCTTATTCTAGGGAAGACCATATACGGCCCTAAATTGTTGTCCCTGGACATGCCTTCCTCCTGTGTAAGATGCTGCAGGGGCCAGGTGCTGGCTGGCCATGGGCTTGCGCTACCTGTTTCCTCAGTATCCTGGGAAGGTCTTCCCAAGCAGTCTTCACCCACTTCAGCTGCTGCAGCATCAAGATATCTTTTTTTCCCTTCTGACCCCCAGGAGACTTTGAGATAGTGAACAGTGCAACGAAGAAGCACACCCGAGATGTTGGGCTGACCTTCCCCACCCCGATGTGCAGCCGGACCAGGCTGCAGGGAGACTCCAGGAGCGGAACAGCGGACGAGTGTGCTCAGCCAGAGGGACTCGCTTCAGCAAGTAAGGAAAGCAAGCAGAAGAGGCGGCCAGGCAGCCTCCCCACGGACAAAGGGCCAAGGAGGAACAGGCCTGAGTGCCTGCGTGCCGTGCGCTCGGGTGCCTTGTGGCTGTGCTGCGCTGCACTGCGCGATGGGAACGCCTGGCAGCGGGAGCACAGAGGTGGTTGTGGGTGAGAGGTGGGGCACCCCGGGAGGGGTCCCACCACACAGCAAGCCTCAGTGCGTAGAAGGCCCTGCGGGGTGACTGCTGAGCCCCCCACAGGCAGTGGAGCACCTTGGGGGCAAGCTGCCGCCTCCTCACCCCTTGCCGCTTCTGCAGGTTTCCCCCCACTGCTTGCGGCCGCTGGACGGTGGTGCCAGGGGAGGCGGGCACTTTGGGAGCCCCCGCCCCTGGGCTCCCGCTGCCGTGTGCCGCTTGCTCCGGCCCCCTTTGGGGTTGGAGGGCAGGGTGTGGCTGGCACTGGGGGAGGACTTGTGGGGACAGGGAAGCAGAGGGCAGCTACTCCCAAGTGACACGGGATCACCTGGCAGCCAGCTGCCCCGGCCCCTGCCTGGAATCGCCTGGCTCGGGCAGCAGAGCGTTGGTTGCTCTTGCTCAGCACCTGGGTTGCTGTGGGGTTGCCCCAGCGGGTCCTCTCAGATGGATCGCACAACGTGGCAAGCCCCTGTTTGGCTTGGTGAACTTGCCATGGGGCTGGAGCGTGCTCACCGGAACCCTGTCCGGGCAGCTTGTCAGCCAGACTCCAGCCACCCTGCTAGAACCATCCTCGGCTCAGACAAGGCAGTGTGACATAACGAGAGCCCAGAGACGGGGACAGTGGCATTCTCCGCCTTCCCTGGTACCTGCAGGGGAAACATGGCACGCAGCAGCCGCCCCTGCCGCGTTGTTCTTGGAAGGCCTGTTCGTGGCTCCTTCCTTCCTTCCTTCCCTTCTGTCCAAAAGCTAGTGCTTCCTTGGCCATTCACAATTAAAGCCTGATAAAATACGATATAAAATTCAAAACTAGAATATAAATTAAAAATAACAAGCCAAAATAAAAACAAAAACGAAATGAGAAGCTGTTGGTAATGCAAACATTTAGGATGCAGTGCCAGATCGACAACACCAACATAAAGGCTGAAATGCCTGCAAAAATAATGTTCTTCATCTCGCGTTGAAAAAGCGCACAACCCAGGTACCAGTGAACTTCTCTGAAAAGCTGTTTTGCAGTGGGGTGTCCCAGCAGAGAGGGCCTTCTTTTAGCGCCCCCCCCCCCCACCAAGGGATTGCTGAAGACAATCTGAGGATATGGGCAGGTGTATATTGCGGGGGCGGGATGATCCATTAGGTTACCTGGCCCTGGGCATGGAAGGCTTTGAGTGGCCAGCACTTCCAAGGCGTTGCAGATGGAAAAGATGCCAAAAGTGCCGGCATCGTCCTTGTTTGCCCTGAAGCAGGCAAGGAAGGGTGAGCAAGTAAATAGGCATGAGGACATGTTAAAGGCCGTTACCTTTAGCTGTTGACAGCAGGTAGCTCAGGTTGCCTGGAAAGAAAGATGCTGCCGCAGGTCTGCTTCTGCTCATCTCTCGCTTGCCTACTCACTCGCTCATAAGGTGGTTCGGAGATGTTTTGCTGCCCCCAGGTGGGCTGAGTTGTGTAATTCAGGAATTGTGGCTCTTTGTCCATTGATTTTCAAGCAGTCCTGCAGCTTACTGCCTGGTTAGTTCCCCCTGCCTCCCAAAATGGTTTTAATTGTGTAAACCATCCAGAGAGCCATGTGGCTATTGTGACAGTCTAGAAAAGCACACATGCATAAATAAATAATTCTGCTGCTTCTTGGCTTGTTTGTGCTATTTCTACTTCACCCTGTAGCCAAAAAGGTCTCCCAGAGTGCCTTAAAAATATATGTGGCATGAGAATCTCTGCCCTCAGGCCTGCAATCTGTAGTTAAGATGTGGCACACATGGACTAAAAGATAGGGAGGGAAGATACTGGTGTAATTTTGAAAATGAAATTCAGAAAATCCAGCGGGTACCAGGTCAAGGAAGGCTGCCCTATGCACCTAATTTTCCATGCCATTCTCTCTTTTTGTTTCCTCTACACTTAAGGCCACAGACAGTTCTGAACTGAGAGACTCTTCTTGGTTCCTCTTGCCCATGGTTTATTGTGCCATGTAGACTAGGAACTGCGCCTTGTCTCCCCAGACAAGACAGAGTCGTATGCCAAGAATAAGTCATGACTTATGTCTTGTCTTTGAGAGACAAACCAGACTTCTTGGTTCAAATGTCACTGCAGATTGAGGCTCTGTGGTTTGTTTCACTGCTTGCAGTAGGAGTGGCTTGTGTCACACTCAGGACAGTCTAAGGCGCTACAGTCTAGCCCCTGCTTAAATGCAAAAGGCGGGGGAATGGAAGGGGGAATCTCCAGGTAGAAAGGAAAGCTTTCGTTATATCTGAATCCATGCACATTTTTCAAGTTGGATTCTTTTTCAGGGATTAGTTCAACAAAGACAAATGTTTAAACCTAAAACAAACACAATTAGAACACATTGATATAATGCACAGTAAATACTGATTTGTTGAAATGTTTTATCTCTTTAAAAGACCACCTCATGTCCTACCAAAATCTTTGCAAAGACCAGAGAAGATTTCAAAGCAGTTGCTACATTAGCATGCGGGTTGCCTGTGCCTGCTTTTTGTGTCCTCTCTTCACCCTCCATTTTCTTTGTTCTTTGCCATCTTTATACTTGTTAAGTTCTTGGAATCCCTGAATTTGAAAGCAGCGATAATACATTATGCAGTTTAATAAGTACGTTCTGCACTTGTGGGGTGCATTGAACTGCTCTGAGCATAGGCAGAAAATAGTCCAGGCAAAAGAGACAGGTGGTCTTTGCTCTCCAACCTTTGTATGTAAACTACCTACACAAGCAGTAGACTTTGAAAAAACGAATGTAGTCTAAAAAGACCTTTTCTTTTTAAACTGACTTTCTTCTAGGGGTTTCCTGGTTTGTTCCTACAGAGGATTTAAAATTTCACCCCAAGAAAAGATCTGGATCTAGCTTTATTCCTGATCCTGGTCCCTCCTGGTTTGAACCGCTATCCAGCCGGAAGCCGTGGCGAGAGCCCCTGCGGGAGAAGAACTGGCAGGAGGATCACGGTGGCCTTCAGGTGCGTCTGGCAGCTTCAGCCAGAGACATTGAGAATAAGCCACCCCCGCCTTTTGTGAAAATGACGCTGCAGGTAAAACCCGGGCTCTGCATTTGGGCTGCTTGTCTGGCTTTTGTGGTTTGCTCCAGTGTGGTTTGGCTGTCGAATGAGTTTAATCGCCTGCCAGTTTATTAGAAGCGAAATAGGGCCCGGTGTGCGTGTCTTTTATTCCTCTCCTCATCAAAACGTGAGACACTTCTGCTGCGCCCTTCAGCTTGCTTTGGCTTGGGTTGGGCTGCTTTCCTGGAACAGCGGGGCATGGCTCGAAGCAGCCACGAGGCCGGGGGACGCTTTCTTCAGCTCCCAGCCTCAGGGCAGGGCACAGCAGCAGCGGAACGGGAGGGGCTGGCTCTGTCCGCATGCTGCCTCTGTGCTCTCTTTATGCTCGGCACAAGGCGGAAAGGGCCGTTTCTGGGCATCCAGCATCAACCCCCAGCGCACTGGGAGGAGGAGGATGCTGTCGCTGCTGCCCTCCACTGCCAGTGCCTGGCAGGCGAAGAGGGAGGGAGGGGCAGGGCCACTAGCACCAAGCCCGCACAGAATGTGCCAGATGCCCACCAGGCCTTGTTCAGTCTCAATTCAAGCCATGTAGCGGAAACAGGAAAAATGCGGTCCAGGCACTGGCAGAAATGCCAGTCTGAAGCTTCCTGCCCCTGCCATCACCCTCGTGATGGCAAAAGGGGTTGAAAGGAAGGAGATGCCCTTTCTCCTCGGGCTTTGGCCGAACTTGAAACCAACGGGCACCTAGAAACCCTCTTCTTCAAGACTAAGCGTGGGCTGTGCTAATTTCCCCATGTGTCTGTTTGAATTACAGCTTGCTGAGAGGTCTCCTCCACCTCTGAGAGACCTTTTTGTCCCGTGGGGACTGGGCTTGGTCTCTATCATGCTTGTTTAAGCTCAAGCATTTATCCTTTTTGCAAATACGTGACTGTGCTTATTCCCAGCCTGGTGTCTTTCTGGTTGTCCCAGCATCAAAGCATTTGTTAACAAGATCCACAGAGGCCTCTCTTCAGCTCTATAGACGCAATAGTCTGGGCATTGCAGGGAGGCTGCTTTTCTTCTGAGGCATGTTTTTAGTGCTCCATTAATGGGGTTAGTTATTTTTGTCATTCTCCCCCCCTCCCTGCCCCAGCTTTATTTGGAGGTGCTTTAAGTGGAGCAACTCTTCTTTTTATTTCTCGACTTAGGAGGCTCTCGCACTGCACCGTCCTGATTTCATTTCCAGCTCTGGGGAACGTGTGAAGCGCCTGAAGCTGATCATAGAAGAAAGGAAACTGCAAAGCGTGCTCCAGGGAGAAAGAGAAGAGTTATTTAATCCTCCCGAAGAGAGGAGGAGTTACAGGAATGCCAGTTGCCTCCTTCCTAACAGAGGTAGCTTTTTTGTATAAACATGGGCAACACTCCCAAGACATGATAAATGTGTGCAGGAGGATTCGGGCAAAGTTTCTTCTGCTGGAGAATGCACGCTGCTCTTGGATTCAGAAAGCCGCTTACTTGTCTCTTCAGTAGTGGAAACTGATGTAACAAACAGCAAGCGAAACAAATTGTGCCCATTGTGCGCAAGCAAAGCACACACACAGAGCACTTTTCTGGCTCATGGCCCTATGCCTTTCCCTGGTTCTCTGCACTGGGCAGGTCTTGGATCTCTTCTTAGAACATGGCATGGCATGTCTCGCGTTGCCAGCTTACGCCCCTGGACAGGTTTCCCTGTGGTGTTGGAGGGCTGCTTGGCCTCAGAAGCTTCCACTTGAAACCAGGCACCGCAGAATCCCCTTTCTGCAGAGTAGCTCTTCACAGGCGTTTTTGCTGTGGGTGTTTTTCGGTCCTGCACGGTGGCAGCAAGCACTCGCTGCTTGTGAGGTGCTGGAGTCCCGGAGGACCACCAGAGCGTCCCGCACACTCAGCTGGTTCCCCGTGCCCTCAGCAAGAGTTAAGAGAGGGCAGCTGCCAAGAGCCCACGGCCCAGCAGGACCCATTGCCAAGCACCCCCCGGGCTTGCCCAGCCTGGACCAGCTCTGGACCAGACAACCATGGCTGGGCAGGGCGTGGAGGGACGGGACTCCTGCCCGGCTGCTTGCTGCCTCCCTGCCTGTTGAGACGCAAACAGCAGCACGGATGGGCGGGCGAGGAGCAAGAGCAGCCGGTGAGAAGGGAGGCCGGCTGAGGCAGCGGCCTGCTTGGCCGCCTCCCCGAGCACCTTCCGAAACTTGGAGCTGGCCCTGTATAGATGGACTCTACCCAGCGGCCCCTTGTTCTGTGTTCTGTCTCTGTGTTGCATTAGAGAAGTGCTGCTTTAAGGCAAGTATTCCCAGGAAGCTTATTGGGAATAAGGCAAAGTATTTGCCTTAGCGCCCGTTTGCTGGTTGCTGTCCAAGCCGTGCTCGGTTGGGGTTTGGTGACAGCTGGCCCCGGCCTGATACGTGGGCATTTCACGCGGCCTGGCAGAGCACCGTGGGACAGGCTCGCTGCGTGAAGGCAAGAGGGATTTCTTGGCGGAGAAATCAGTCCATTGGCAGTTTCCTGAGTACCCGTGAAACGTGTATCCCCGTGAATTCCAGTGTGCTTCCGGGTACTTTTAGTGGTGCCTGCAGAGCTCTTTGCTCTCTCTCTCTCTCGCTGTCTCTCACTCTCTCTCTCTCTGCTCAGCCTTGCACTTTTTCTCTTCCTTCTCTTCTTTTGCCCACTCTTCAGAGGCATGCGCACACACATGCGCGCACAGCGACTCCCCGGGCAGGTGTTCCTGATGGCCGTGGAGGAGGCCGGAGCACCTGTAGCCTGTGGAGTGGCTGAGCGTGGCTCTGTGATAGAGAAACTTCGTCTTTCTGCTTCTGCGGAGCGCAGCGCCTTCCTCTTCTGTGACTCACTTTCTCCGGTGAAGCGCATCCCCTTTGACCAGTCAGGTTGCCACAGCAGTCACAGTGGGGCTTCTTTTACAGATAAGGGCAGAAGAACCTTTTCTTCTCAGGGAGGAGAGGAAAAGTCAGTCATGGGGCATATCTGGCAGGAGACAGAACAAAATGTGGGCAGACCAAGCCCCGTTTTTTCTTCCCGCTACTCCCTCTCCTTTTCTTTCCTCCCAGCACCTGCTAGGCTCTCTTAAAGAAGGAAACCGCTGAGCAGGGAGGGCTTTTCAAAGGGCTCGGGATGACGCTGTGTTTTTGGAGCGCTTGGGTCCCTCTCTGCTTGGGAGAACGGCTGGCTCTGCGGTTTTGGTTGTGGCCCGTCGCACTTCGTGCTGCCTCGGTGGCTCTGTTACCCCAGAAAGGGACAGGAGGTGGAGGGCAAGTGGGGGGGGCGGGCACTGGCATTTCATGTGCACTGCCCACCCAGTGTCTCCAGAACCCTGGAGCAAGTTCCTTGGTTCTCTGAATGTTGCTCCACTTGACATTTTCCTCCCTTGTTTAGACTACCGGACTATACGGAGGAGAAGAGCCATTCCTAAAAATGAAATGTTTCAAAGATCCAAACGGTAAGATTGGCTTTGCCTTCCCATAAGATGACTTTGTGGGGTTTTTGTGGGCAGACATATATCAATAAACTCCCTAGATAGTGCAGAAACTGAGTTCTTTCAAACTGTGACTAACCTGCAAGGGAGAACAGGGAGTCCTGGGTGTATCAGTGCCTGAAAGCCCGAAAGGTTCCCACTTCCCGCCTTGAACTAATATCTACATGGGGCGCCTTCTCCCCTGCAAGCTCCTCTGAGATGCACAGCAGATGCACAGCAGGGCTTTTCGTGGATTCTTCCCCATGGATAAGATCTGCCTGCTCCTCTGCTGTCTTCAGTGGCGCCCAAGATCCTCCGCCAGACGGGGGTGGGCATCTTGCCTTTTCGTGCGACGCAGACCGAGATTTTGTCCCGCTCTGAGAACATGCCTCTGCTGCACACTGTGTATCGATCACCTCAGCTGTTGCAACAAGAGCTGCAGGAATGCAGCTGCAGGGCTTTGGATGCGCCTGCATTTTTATTTATGGTATTTTTGATGGTGGAGGCTTGTTTAGGGCAGAGGTAGGCACAGCACAGAGGGCGACCTCCGAGGTGTTTCCAGTCCGTCTCCAAGCAAGGGATGAACCAGAACAGCCAGACCCTCCTGCCAGGGCTGGCCTTGTGCGCATTGCTTCCCTCTCCGCCCTGCCCTTTTTCATGAGTAACACGGGAACACTGTTTAGTTGCTTTTGGCCAGGTCTTTGCTCGGTTCTGCTGGCCAGGAGAACATTGAGTTGGAAATGCTGGCTTCCTGCAGTTTGCATGTGCATCCCAGTATGTTTCATGAGACACAGTCAAGGATCGACTTCGCCCCTGCTCCCACCCCGCTTCTGTGCTTGGCTCAGGTTGGTGGATCTCCGCATGAGATCTGCCCTGGGTTACGGTATGTTGAGAAAGCTGGTTGCTAGTTCAACAATAAACAAGAATTGCCTTTGTTTCTGGCAATTCTTCAAATATTTCACAAAGAAGAAGGGAAGGGACGGATAATGAGGCTTCTGCTAAGGAAAACCCAGTAGCAGATGACAGGACAGCCACTCGAGAGGGATGGCTTAACGGGGTGGGAGCCCTCGGGGAGCACGGGGTTGGACCCTCTGGCCCCTTCCAGCCCTACAGTTCTGTGATGCGCGAATGCCGTTCTTGCAGGGCGCTCCCTGTATGTATCTGAAATAAGCCGCTTGTTTTTTGTGTTCTATGCAATGTTTACGTGATTCCCTAGGGAACATACAAACCCGCCGCCATCCTTTTCCCGATAAGCTAATCCTTTAACTGCTAGCGTTGTAAAAGGGGTTTGAACTCAGTTTTGATTGAGAATGTGGGGCACTTCTGAAGGAACGTACCGGGCTGATTCACAGCCACCCTGCTACGTAAGGAAAAGGGTGACTGGTCTGCACCATTCAGCAATTATTTCTGTGCTCTCCATGTGCACCAGGTTTTTCCCTTCACTTCTAGCTGTCCACTCCGTCCCTTGGTGAGCCACCTGGGCTACAGGCTGGAGCATCTCTGGGCGTGGAGGCCGTCCTTCTGGACTGAGACGGCCTATCTAGGCTAGCCACAGGCTCTCCTCGCAGGAGGAACCGTGCAGGCAGGGGGAGTCTGTGCAGGCTCCGTCTGCCAGGCATTGCATCCAGCTTGTTTCGTGGCCAGCGCCTGATGGTTGCCTGCAGCTGATCACCAAACGCCGAGTCCAGCATCTTGCTCATGCACGAAAGGCGAACAGCTTGGGCCCGTTAGGGGCTTTGCCCTGCAGCCCTGCTGGCCAGGGCTGGTGGGATTTGTAGGCCAAAACCTCTGGAGGGCCACAAGGGAGCGGTTATTGTATAAAGTGGTGGTCTTTAGGGTTGTGCAGGGACAGGAGTTCAGGCCCACTTTCGGGTTAACAGCCTTATAAATCCTGCTGCATCCTGGTTTCCTGGTGCTTCTTATATCAAATGTCAAGGTCTGGTCAGAGTGGCCTTCCCCAGCCTTCCGGACCCATTTGAACTGCAATGCCCAGGATCCCGGTTGGGGAAGGCCGCCTCAGAGTTTGTTCACATGTGTGGCGTTTTGTTTCCATGGGGTTAGTGAGCCTAACTAGCTAGAAGGCCACAGCCGAGAGCCTTTGCTTCTCGGAAAAGAAAGCTGCTCCCAGAGTCTGAGTCTGGGGCAGATGCTACTTTGGAACTTGTCAAGCGCATTTTCAGTGTTGGCCAGAGGAAATGATTGCAAGGAGACCAGCTGGACCTGAGGAAGTTTTTGGACCATGACAGATCACACAGTGATCCCGTTTCCTTTATCAGGCTGGGCCAGGTCGCCTTTGGTGCCTCCAAAGGCAGCAGGTTTCCTTGCCTCTCCGGTTCCCCCTTTCCTTGCATTTTCCACCCTGAATGACTCCCATTACGCAACTGCGCAGTCCTAGCTGTAGGGATGGAAAACTAGGATACATTTAGGAGCTGTTCCTTCAGAGTCACCTTTTCATTTCCCGTTTATTCTCGTAGTATCTATGAGCAGCTGCCCGAGGTGCGAAAAAGGCGAGAAGAAGAGAAGAGAAAATCAGACTATTCCACCAATCGCTTGAAGGCTCAGCTTTACAAAATGGTGAGTGTTTTCTTTCCCTTCCTTCCACCCCAAGCCAATCTCCCATGTGTGGCCTTTCCTGAGAGAAGGTTGAGCAAAGTCACTGGGCTGGTACAGTCAGTATTATCCCCGTAATCACGTTGTATCTGGTGGCGACGAAATGGTGCCTGGCAGTTTCCATCTAAAGTACTTGAAGTGCTGCCCAGATTCGCAGCGAGTCCCACATAAAACTGGTCCCTGCACTCACCTCATCCCTAAACTATGAACTGAGCAGAAGTGCCAAGACTGGCTCCAGCAGAGTTCCTGGAAACAGGATTGGTGGCAACTTCACCAGGTTCCCATGGAAGAAAATATTCCCTGATTTATTGTCTTTGACAATTTAAGCCAAGACCCGACCAAACCCCCCAAAATCATCCAAGTCAGACTTCATCACTTTAAAGCCTTTGTTGGTGTCTGAGGTAGTTCTCTGGCATCGTCTGTTTATATGCCTTTTATCTGGGTCCCTACCAGCATATGCCGTTCCCAGCAGCCAGGTGCTGACTGGGGTTGGAACAAACTTGGCCCTCGAAGTGAGCCAAGCCAAGGGGAAGTACGCGGACGCTGGTGGGACGAAGATCGCACGAATGGCCCCCTGCCTCCACCTGAGGTGCAGCAGCAGGAGCACAGGCCGCTGCCTGTGGCACGGAAGAGGGATGCTGCTTGCGCAGTGCGTGGGGCTGGATTCCTGGTGCGCACCATGTGGGCCCTGAGCCTGCTTGCCTGGGACCTGGACTCGGCCGTGGCAAAACAGGCTGGAGTCTGGGGAGCCGAGCCCGGGGGATCTGAGTGGGTTCCTCCCCATCCCCGGTGCTGGTCCTTTGGAAAGCCTGGAAGGGGCCCTGTGGTGGAGAGTGCTCGAATAATTGTGGCTGTTTGGCGGGGAGGAGCAGGAGCGGGACTTCATTGCTGGCACCCGTAGAACCCCCCTTCCGTTGTGTCGGAGCAGCGGCCTGAGCAGCTTCGTGCGGTCTCCTCTCTTGGAGCAAGGGAGCACCTCCCGGCCCCTCCCCTTGTTCCTTCTGGTATCTCCTTCCGAGCAGAAGCACATGCGGTACCGCTGAGCCCACACCCTCACCCGCAGCCGGCTGAGTGGGTTGACGGCGGCCCATCAAGTGCTGCCTGGCTGGGGGAAGCTTGGGCCCAGCGGATCTGGAGGGCACCAGGTCAGCGAAGGCTGATTAGTCCCTCATTATCTGTTCTAATTGGTAGTCGCTCTTCAAAGGTACCATCGAACCCAGCCAGGGCGGAGTCCCCCACCCTGCTACCTGGAATCCTTGTAAGTGGCCTTGAAAGGGCCTGAATCTGGTGCCAAGGCTGTGGCCTCTGTCTGAGCCAGGGCGGGCAGGAGGTGTTTTGGACCTCCTCTTCCAGAACCTCCTGACAGTGTGGCCGGTGGTCAGGAATGCTGGGACATGTGGCCTTTCCAAGTCTTCAGAGGGAAGCTCATCAGTTTATACGCTTGAATGTTTCGCCTTCTCCACCCACGTGGATTCTTAACATGGCTTGGAGGCCAACAAACTTGCCCTGTCAGGTCATAGGAGCAGTATTCTAGGAAGACGGTTCTCCTGACCGGGAATTTAATTGTGTGTGTGGCCAGGTGACTGCAGCTTAGGGTGCCCCTTCTTTGTGCCTAAAATGGAACCAGCCTGTCTCCTGTGCCCCGGGCTCTGTACAAGTTTTGCACTGTGATTTAATAAAGCAATAAGTAAAGCACGTTTGCCGTCTTGACCCTGCTCCTGGCACCGGCACAGAGCTGATTCCTGGACTCTGTCCTGTGTGTGCTAGAGGTGTGAAGCTGTTACACGAGAGTGCGGTGCTTGTCCCTGAAACCGGGTCGGGGACCTTGTGCCGTCGTCCGTCGCATGTCTGAATGGGAACTGGCCAGTTGCAAGTGTGCGTCGGTTCATTGAATAAGCCCCACAGCAGACTTGTGGGTTCAGTGAGGGTTTAGCCCTCAGGTGTCCCATACTGGCCAGATTCACATGACACAACGGTCCCCAACTGGAGGTCGCTTATCCATAATGGCAGCTGCCACGCACTGTATCGGCCTGGGAGTCAACTAAGCCTCAGCGAGCGGTCAAGGTCTGAACTTTAACGCCACCTGGAAGCTGGATGGAGGCAGCGTGCTGAGCGCAAAGGCATCTCGGCCACCCTCAGTCAGGAAAGTTCTGCGTGTATTTCTGTTATTCGGCAGTGGCCCAGTTGCTGTAATTTTATTTTTCCAGTAGTGCCACAGAACGGCCAGCCCTGGATGCCGCTTCTTCCCCCCAGAAAGACAAAAACCGTTCTGTGCCTGGTACCCCCAGGGGGGATTAACTATGGGGCTGTGCCTACTCCTCAGGCATGGCCCCCCAGCCACATGCCAGCTTGGGCGTTCCCAGAGGGAGTGTCTCTCCCTGTTGCCCCTGCCCAAAGGCTCTCCGAGGTGCTGCAGATTCCCTGCTGAGGCACGCGAGGGCTTTTGGGTGCGCGCTCTCAACCCAGGGAATGTGCGACTCGTTGCTGAAATCGCCTCCCGTCGTGATGCAGTGCGCCTGGGAGCGTGCGGGTGGGATTTGAATCAAAATCTGGATATTGTGACGGGGCACTGCAGCACCTGGATGAAAGCACTCGGAGTGTAAAGTGCTTGATCCTTCCACCTGCTTCAGTCTTCATTTGGGAACCTTGTTAGATTTAGAGCAGACTATCGGCATTGTCGGCGGGGCTGTCAGCTGAGAGGCCGCTCCCGTGGGCTTCAGCGGGGTGTGCCTTGGCCCCTCCTGAGCCAGGGGACCCCAGCCCTGCTGGCAGGCAGCCCTGGCTGTGGGCCGAAGTTCTCGGCGCCTTCCCTTTGGGTTGAGCCCTGCAGGCGGTCCGTGTCTTCAGCCCTCGGCGTGCGGCATCCAGAGCGCTTCCCTCCCTCCCTCCCTCCTCCAGCGGCAGGCTTGACGGTGTCTCAGCAGCGTGTGATCGTGTGATGAGAACTCGTTGTCAGGGAGAACGGCACGTGGCCCCGGTGAGTCAGGTGGGCAGCCACAGCTGCCGTGGCACCCGTGGCCTCGTTTTGATTTTGCAAAGGCTGCAGAGAAGCGCCTCCTTGCGACTGTGGAAGTGCAGCCTTGAGCCCGGAATCACAGAAAGGAGGGGCAGAGAAGGACGACTCCCATTGGACCTGCCTGGTCTGAGTAAACCCACCCGAAGGAAGGAAGGAAGGAAGGAAGGAAGGAAGGAAGGAAGGAAGGAAGGACGGGAAAGCAGATGTGATTCAGGCCATGTCCACAAGGTGGCCCTGCAGCAAGCAGAACGGAAGCGCCTTGCAGCTGCCTGAGGAGCAGCTTTCTGGCCTTTGCTGCCATCCCTTGCACACGGGCGAGGCATCCCTCCCCCTGCAGTAGCGCAGGTGGGGTGCCCACGGTTGGTCCCAGCAGCAGCTCTCTCGAGCCCATTTTCCTCTCGAGCCCATTTTCCTCATTCGCGTTCCGCAGATCCAGTTGGCATCCCGGAGGACAGTGAGCTGCAGGGCCGCTTGCCGGAGCAGTGTGGCTCCAGCCATTGTGGTCGGGCTGCTTCCCCATGGTGGGGCCACAGGAGCACTGATGGTGGAGATGGGAAGCTGAGACCTTCCCGTGTGGCCGCTGGCACCTTTGGGGAGCCCGTGGGCCAGACACCGCCCTGCGTTCTACCCTTAAAGATGGCTCGAAAGTGCAGCTGGTGTTAGAGGCGGCAGGCGGTGGCGCACCTCCCCCAGTTCTGCGACGTCTGCATGGCATCTGGCCTGGTCCTGAGCCCCTTGCACGGCTGCCGCTTTTGCCATTTAAAACCTGGCGTGGCTTGGGACCAGATTTTCTTACGGACTTGTGTTTGCCCCTTTGACCGGCTGCCTTTTGAGATCTCCGATGAAGGCCTTCCTTCAGGTCCCTTTGCTGGTGGGAGTGTGCAGGGCACTTGCAGCAGCTGCAGAACTCCTCTCGGAGGTATTCACCTGGAGTGGGCTTGGTACCTTTCCGGCACCACCCTTTCATCTGGAAACCAGCAAAACTCATGCTATGAGCTTAGGGGCTTTTCTTAAAATTCAATTTTCTGGGGTCACATCCCCCATCCCATGGAAAACTGCTGCTGAAACGAAAGGGAGTTTGAAAAACAACATGGCACAGACTGAACCATTCAAAGAAAAACAGCGCCATTTCTCCAAGGACAAGGAGTGCTGTGTTTCCCAAAAAGGGGAAATTTTCCAGAGCTTGATTTTTCTGTGGGAGCAAAAATCGCTTTCAGACGTTCATTAATAACGATGAGTGGATCCTAATTGCAAGCAGAATGGGTGTCTTCGCATGTCACAGTAGCCCACCCTGACAGGAAGGCGAAGGCGCAGGTGCTGCCCCGATTCACCATGGGTTGCTTCCTGTGGCAGGTACGAGCCCTGGTTCAGAGAAGGTCCAGACAGCCTGGTTTGGTCCAACAGGTGACAGAAAGGGAGCTGCCAAGCCAAAGCTGCAGATGAGCTGTGCTCGTGAAAAGGGGCTGGTGCGATTTAGGCCCCCGTTGCAGCAAGGTCCTCACCTTGTGGGTTTTGTCTTTGTCTTGTCTGCCCTAAGGGAGCTCTCACTCCCTTCCCTTTACCTAAGGTGGACAACGTGACACCGACCCATCACGGGTACAACAACCCCTAGAACAAACTGCGGGTTGTCAGGGAATCTGTCCAAGTTCACATAACAGGACAACCCATTGTGGGTACCAACCCAACATTAATATGTGCAGCCTTTCCCCAACTTGGCTGGCTGGGGATGCTGGGAGTTGTGATCTAGCACATCTGGAGAGTACCTGGTTAGTGAAAGCTGGATTGGGGTATCAGCAGTTTGCAGAAGCTTTTGTTTCCTTCTTACATTTAAACAATATAAAAAAAGTGCATGCGGTTGTCCCTACATTTTTGCAAATATTCTAATAAAAATATCTGCATTCTGTAACATTTAAATCACATTGAGTAAGCTCTATTCTTCTGCTTCAGCATTTCAGGTCAAATAGTTGTATATTAGGACAAAGGAAGAACATGGGATACTTTTTCCCCTGTGTTGTTTATTTGACTTGGGTTTGGTAAGCATGCCAAATTGAAGAGTTCACAAAGTGTTTTCTAATGGAAATGGAAAAATTTTTGGTGCCAATGACCCTATCCAAATTATCCCCATTTTTCTGAATTTTCAAAATTCAGAATTTTCCAGAATGCCCATGCCACTGTGCTTCAAATCGTGGCCCATTTGCATCACATTTTAACTGCCTGGACTATTTTGTTTGATCAAAAAACAGCTTTTATATGTCCAAACAATCAACTGGGCCATAATTTTTCATGCTGCAATTTCTTTCCCACTTTGTTCTCTTTCCCTCTCACAAGATTTCCGTGACGCACAGTGGCATCTCATTCCACTGTTTGGGAATCTTTGCCTAGCCGCCATCGACTCAGATTCCCTCTTCCACTTGGCTGTGGGGCAGAGGATGGATGCTGGGTGCAGCGGGAGCTTCGCCGCCTGCATCTGGGCATCGTGCTGATTGTAAAGCTAACAGATTTATTGTTTTCTTTCCTGCAGAAAATCACCAACCGCATTTTGGGAAGAAAAGTACCTTGGGAATGACTTTGAAGACAAAGAACCAAAAAAGCAGTCTGCTGTTTCAATAAAACTTACTGCATGTCGTGAATTTTTCAGCAGCTTTCCTGTGTATGCTGAAATTTGTATGAATAGACTACTCAGGCAATTTTCCAATTATGCAAATAGATTTCATGAATTTTAATTAGCATCATGGGTGCCCTTCCCAGCTAATATGACTGCTTCTAGAGTACAGTGATCTCATGAAGATTTATAAAAAAAGAAAAAGAAAAAATGATTTTCAACAGTGTGTGTATAGTGTCCCAGATCAAGGTAGTTTAGAATTAATTTATGACAATTAAATCTGTGGATTTGTTGAGTAGGTAGCCTGTTTACTTATTTTTGGATACTTGAATTTCATGGTGTTTTGTACTTTTTTATAACTGAACTTGTTATCCTGGTTTTTTTGTACTACTACAGCTACTGAAGAAAATTAAACGTCTTAAGACTCTTTCCCCCAGTACTTTTATACTCATTTTGTTTGCATTTTTTAACGTGAAAGGGAGGGACCCTGATTTCTGGCTTGAATGTGCCTCCTGCTAAGACTAGTGCTTAATTAGCGGCCCCACGTTTCTCCACACGAGGCCACGTGGACTCACCTGTATTACTCTCCATCACTGCACCCCGCGGGGGATTCCTCCATGTCAGGCAGGAGTCCTCTGGCACCGTTCACCCTGCCTTTTCTTGCCATTTCTTCTTGCTTGCCTGCTGTTTGTGGGTGAGGGTTTGTCTCTTGTTCCTCCTTTTCTTGAGCCTGTCAGATGTTCCTTTGGTCAAATGTTTTTCCTGTCATGACACTGAACTATGGCCAAACAGGGTCGTGTCCTCTTTCATGTGTGCACGCGGGGTGGTGGTCAGCTTCTGGTGGATTGGAAGGAGCTTCCGGAAAGTGACCCCCTCCCTCTGCCTAGCAGGTAAAGTCACCACATCCTACAAAACAGTCCTTGTTCAGGGCACGTGCTGAGGATTCCAGCCTCTCTGCCTGGACATGGCTTCGGGGGTGCCCTGCTGGGATGAAGCTGGCAGGGTGGGGGAGCAGCAGGGGGGGTCTGGGCCTCCCCTTCCCCCCACACCTTTGCTTCCTCCAGAGAGCGTGGCCTGGTGCTGGAGCTCGGGAGGCAACCTGCGTCCCAGTCCCCGTGCAGCTGTGGAGCCCCCTGGGTGACTTTGGCCAGTCCCTGCCTCTCGGCCTGGCCTGCCTCACAGGGGAGGACTTTGTAAGCCGCCTTGGGTTCCTTGCCAAAGGAGGAAAGGCGGGATATAAATGCAATTGGCAGCAGCAGCAGCAGCGATAGCAACGACAGGTGGGCTTTTCAGCCTGCTTGAGCGTGGGGACTTCCTCGGAGGAAGGGAGGCTGAGAATAACCTCTCTCCTGGCCTCAGTGGACTCCTTCCCCACCAGAATACCTCCTCTTTACCTCTCCAAGGTGTATTTTCCAACCTCGGAGAGGTAGCCCATGTGGTTCTCGCTGCACCAGCTGTGTGTGTGTGTGTGTGTGTGTGTGGGAGGGGGATCAGATCCCCAGCACCCCCTTCCAAGCTTGGGACATTTTCTCCAACCTCAGAAGCTGTTTCCCGAGCATCCCTGGGGCCCCAGTGGCACTCCGCGAGGTGAGCCATTCCTTGCGGGAAGCCGTAAGACCTTGTGGGACGCGCTGGCCACCATCTTGAATATGTGGGCCACAACAGTCAGGTGCCGCAGCTTGTCATGCTACACAAACTTGGGTGCCATGGATTATGCAAGGGTTAAAAGTCCTTGGATAACCTGAGAACTACCCAGCCACCCTCCTTCCTGCTGATCGGCTGCTGATCCCCCTGTTTCAACCTGCACCATCTCTGCTCGTTTGTTTCTTAAATTTACACCCTGCCTCTTTTCCTTTTATGGAGCTCAAGGCACCATCTTGCCCTCATGACAACAACCCTGAGAGTCCGTGGCTGGCCCAGAGTCGCCCCGTGAGCTCCATGGCTACATGGGAACTGGAGTCCAGATTGCCTGAGTCCCGGCCCTGTGCTCTTAATCATCCCTCCACACCGGCTCGCTCTTCCCCTATTGCTGCTGATTTTCATCATTGTTAGCCTCTTCTGAGGGTGGAAGAGACAGAAAGGTAATTGCGGCCCGAAAGTGATGGTATATTGGATTTTTCATCATGAATTGCTGTGACATTTGGATGACTCAGGAGTGAACACGCAGCCCTCCTCTTGGCCGCCCACCGCCTCCACAGCTGCTCAGAAATGCACAGAGGTGGCACAGCTTTCTGGAAGCGTGCGCAGTATTTCTTTAATCGGGGATACGTACACTGGACCGAGATTCCTGGGCACACCTTCGAGTGCTGGACTGTTCGTGGTAAAAGAACCCTGTAGGGAAAACCCAGCAGTCTGGTTAACGCGCGTTTGCCTCCTCGCCATTTGCACTGGGAGGAGACGACTGGATCCCATCGGGTAGAGGGGAAGGGGCTTTACGTGGGTCCATCTTTCAGTTCTGGCAGCAGAACGGGCCGGTTTCCTATGGGCGTCTGCCAGATGCCCTGCTAGTAGCTAGCCGGAGAGTGGAGCAGAATCGTTTTGTTTTCCCCATCTCTCCACAAATATTAATGCTGAATGTTCTTCAGCTGTTTTCTGACCAGGGCGGGAACCTAAGAAAAACACAGTTCCATGTTCCTGCAGGAGGGTGGAGCTTTATTCCTCTGTTAGAAGCTTGCAATACTGTACACAGCCAAGGAGGCCTGTTGTGAAAATGTGTGAGGTTGCCCGGCCCTTCAAGCACACGCAAAGCAACCCTTGGCACCCCAAGGCGGATGCCACAATAAACACGCTTGTGCAAAGGACTCCTGGCACACAAAACCCTGCTTTGGGTGCAGACAACCTCAGATTCGACTGCTAACCTCTCCAGCTGGAGCTGGAGGAAAGCTTGCTTTGCAAGCCTGGTGTGCGTTGCTTCCAGGCTGCTGGTGACGAGGGCTGGGAGCCTGGGAAAGGAAGCCCTGAGTTCCACACAAAAGACAGGCAGCTCTAGAGGGCAGGAAGCTCTGAATTCTCTGTAGTTTTCTCTAGTTTCTGCCGAAGCACTCTAGTCTCTTTCCAGCCCAGAAATGCTGGTATGCAGCACTCACAGATGACCGAGAACTTTTAGGCGTGAGCTGCATATGACAAGAGGGGCAGTGGTGTGTATTGTTGTCGGGGTAACTTAAGAGCTGGCCCCTAGAAATGGTGAGCTGCTTCATCTCCCCACAGGGGCCCTGATCAGGAAGCACCCGCCACCCATCCTGGCCGGTCGCCTGGTTTCTGTACTGGGAGCAGAGCTCCCACGATACTGCCTCTGGGAGGCATTCTTCCCAGGCTGGCAGCTGGTGTGGCCTTCTGATCCTATTGTGGCTGAAGCAGGCCCTGGGACTGGGTCAAGTCCCCTTGCCAGCACCCCAAGCTAGCGCAGGGCCCCGTATTTGCGCTCCAGCCATAACAAGAGCCAGTGCGGGGTGGGGGGCTGAACCCAGGAGACCCAGGTTCTCCTCCCCACGTGCGTGGCCACGATGCCCCCTGGGTGGCAGTGGGTCAGTCAGTCTCTCCCAGCCTACCTCCCAGGATGATGCTTGTGAAGTTAAAATGGAGCTCTTTAAGCTGCGTCGAAGGCAGGGTATGAATGCCGTGTGGTCGTGAGGGTGCAGCTACCACACAAAAGGTGTCGTTTGCATTGTCCAAGCAGCCCTTTCGAGCCAGAGGATGCGGAGGCAACGAGTCTTTCGCAATTAGTCACTGGGACGGCAGCCGTTTTCCTGCCCTACGGGAGAGACATCTGGAGGCAACCAGCTGGCCACAAGCCTGGACTGGGAGAACTTTCAGCAGGACTCGAGAGAGCTCCAGCTGGGCCTTTCTTTCACCAACGGCTTATTTCTTGCAAAGTCACACACGTGCAGAGAAACCGATCTGCTGCACGTTTATGTAGGCGTGAGTCGCCCTCCGCTCAGGGGGCTCATTCCCAGGTTGGTTTGCGTAAAAACCCCCTGGATGCCGAGACCAAGCCGACACGTTTGTGGAAGACCCCAGTGGGCGGTTTGGCAACCAAATGTGACGCTTGGGCAGCTTTGAACATTTGTGAATACTTGCCTGACTTCTGCTGCCTGAAGGGAGGAAATAAGAGAAAGTGAAGGTGTGAACATGACTCTAATAAATTAATCGAATACGCTGGAACTGTATGTTGGTGGAAAGTAATTATGTAGTATTTCTAGCCCTAAGAAAAGGCAGTAAACTTTCCACCAGATTTATGGAGTTCCTATATGTGGTGTAAACATTGCCTTCCTTCCCACTAGTATGCTAGTGTGGGCTTCAAACCACCAGCTGTTTAAAATCATAGAAGGTGCTTGTTGAGAGTACTTCCCAGGGCAACCCTCTGCTTTCTTACCAGCTTTGTAGCAATACAAAACAACTTAGACTTTAATGGCCATAGTTGTCTGAAGAGTGTTCTGTTTGCTTCCCCTCCCCGTTTTTAGACACAGTTCTATTTCTTTGCTCCAACCTTTTATCAGGTACCCAATAATGCTGCCTTTAATTAGATCTCTCTCTCTCTCTCTCTCTCTCTCTCTCT